GACCACTGACATCAGGTGAATGACAATAATCCCCAGATTGCTCTGGGTTGACGTAGCTGCTGGAGGATGATGTTAATTCTGCTGTTTACAAAAATAAGTCCAGTGTGAGTCGAGGCTTTTTGGTGTTTAAAACCAGATGGTATTTCCTGCCTTGATCAGCCTCAGAGCTTTGGTTCCCATGGCAACCTCGAAGTTCCACCTACTGCAACTTCCTCGGTCTCTAGGCTCTGGGCTTCTTCCCCTTCCAACATTGCGTCAGAGGCCCTGGAGAAGAAAGGTACTGACCAGCACATGCACGGCACTTTAAGGTTTGCACCACATGCCTGTGTTTATTCCTTTGTTTACTCCACACCACTGCCTTGTTTGTTGTTTCTCCATTTTCCAGATGGGCAAACCAAGGCCTGAGTGATGAGGCAGTTGCTCTGTCAGCCCTCGGTGGTGAGAGCAGTACCCAACCTGAGATGTTAGGGTTCTGGCTCTCACCTGGGGCCCACTATTTCAGGATAGGGAATGAGTACCTATGCTGCAGTATTGTGATTATGATTCCTGAACCATCAATGCCATATCAAGCTCTAGATCAAGCATGACATCTTCACATTCCTCATCTGTAAGACGTAGTGATAGTGGCACTCTAGCTGGATGACAGGGTAGCCTAAATATGCCCGTAAACCCACTTTAAGAGCTGAGTTTGAAGGCAGACAGGAGACCCGAGTTCCACCCCATCATGTGATATTGAGGGCTGCTTTGCTTAGGGAACCCCTTTTCATCTGTGATACTGTAGCAGCACCCAAGTACACATCTCCTCCCGTACTGCAGTGTGAATACACATCCTCACAGGGTCTGTGCTTCTTGTGAGACACTTGGGAACACCCAGGCAGCTGGTCCATGGACTCCACTCTGAGTACCAAGGTTGTGGCTAAGAAAACACTGTGCAAATGGAACCAAGGGCTCCCTGTGCAGGGATCATATCCTCGTTAGTAGGAAGCTCAGGAGGCGGGAGGGTTGGCTGGGACTCATCTGCAGGTGTGACAGTTCTGTCAGGAGGGGCTCTTAGACCCCCAGACCTTCTGGACACCCCTGGAGGAAGTGAATGCTATGCTTGATCTTGGAGCTCTCAATGGATACAAAAAAAACCAGTGTGTTACATCTTGCATGACAAAATATACTCACTGCAAATGATCCTTTTTTCTTTTTTGGTGTAGGGAATTAAACTCAGGACATTGTGCTTGCCAGGCAGCATCGCGCTGTGCCACTGAACTGTATTCCCAACCCGATCCATGCAATTTTTTGAAGTAACAATTAACTATATTTTAAAAAGCCATTGTGACCCAGGAATGCTAAATGACCTAAGTTCATGACCGAAAGTAGGTCAAAACAGAACGATTACATGGGCCTAAGAAACAGCGTCTCGTTCTCCCAGTCTCCCGTTAGCCTGTTTTCTTTTTCCTTCAGTTCTTTCTTCTTTTCTGGAGGCTGTGGATTTAATCCAGGTTCTCATGCCTGGTGGGCAAGGATTCCACCATAAGCTACCTCCTTAGCCCTATTTTTTGAAATAGGGTCTCACTAAATTGTACGGTACGGCCTTGAACTTGTGGTCTTCCTGCATGAGCCTCCCCAGTGGCTGGCATTGTAGGCATACGCCACGATTTCCAGCTCCTATTTTCTTTGCTCTGTTTTTCTTTATATGATTGTGGTTTGCAAACTGGATTATGTGCATTAAGTTAATTGCTATCCAATTAACAAGGATTTCCCATTCATTCTTGTAATAAAGCTGGCCAGTGCATCCTCGCCCTTGTCAAAGGTCCCTCATCCAGCTCCTCTCACTGCCATCAGCTCCAACAGTGGTCCAGTGGTGGGGCTGAGTCGGCACTGCAGCTGTGGCAAGGAGTTCGTAAGGCTGACCCCTTAGAAAAGTGAGAGAAACACACGTAATAGCTTTGGTGCTAAGCATTCCGACTGTAGCCCTTACCTCAGCCCCTTGAGCCAGGACTGCTCTATTTCAGAGCAGCCCAGCAAAGCAGGGGCTTTGCTTCCAGTGTCTGTGATGGTTGGCATCCCAGGTGGTCATCCACTGCCTGAGAAAGGCAGCCCACTCTCCTCCTGCTGGCTCTGGCTAGGAGGGGTCTGCTGCCTCGTGCACCTGCCCGGCACTGCACAATGAGCCTGAGCTGTCGCCGCTGCTCTCACAAAGCCACCCATTGCCTCTCACTGCTGGCTCACCTCCACGTGCACACAGCCCAGCCCTCTGGAAAGCCCTTGTCACAGGCAAACAGTGGGTTCCGGGTGACAGAATGGAGGTGGACACGAGCCTGCAGCCTGTCACTGAGGACAGGTCTGGGAAGGACCACCTGTGGCAGTGGAAAGCTGGGGATGGGAGCTCAGAGACTTGGGCACAGGATGGGGCAGGGAGCAGCAGCTGCTCCTCGGAGGCTTTCCCGAGTGAATGGGCACAGAGTGGGTGTCCATGCCAACCGCAGGCTGCTGCAAACACTCATCTGCCAGGAGCGATTTCCATTGTGATGAAAGTGGAGACAATTACTCCACTGAAAGAGCCCAAGCAAGTGAAGCGGAGCTTCAAGGCATATTAAAAAAAAAAAAAAAGAAGAAGAAGAAGAAGAAGAAAAGAAAAAGATGAGACCTAAAGAAGCAGCAGGAGACCACAGCATCTAGATGACCAGGGCCTTGGGTGAAGTTCAGCCCTCCACCTCAGGCCCAGCTCCACCTCTCTCTGGCTCACTTGTGAACTACTTTCTGGGGACTCTGGCTTGAGACCTTCAGTCTATCTAACTCCTTGGGACAAGGGGGTACTTGCGTGGGGGAGCAGAGGAAAACTATCCCAGTGATGGCGAACCTTGTAGAGTTCTCAATAACACGAGTGACCCACTGTGGCCTGTGTGCTCCAGGTCCACTACCTCTGCATCAGTAGAAGGACAAGGAAAAGATGGGGTAGAGGTACATGAGACTGACACCAGAGGTGGGGAAGCCACAACCATCTGCTTCCCTAACTGTGCCAGGGCTGAGCCCGAGTGGTATAATGTTAGCAGAATCTTAGCATTCTAGCTTCTCTGAAGCCTCCCATCCAAAAGCATTATGTCAATTCACACTACAACCACCACCATCATCTAATTCTAGGCTTTCCACCCCCTTTGCATCCCCTCCTTACCTATGAAGTGTCATTCTTCCAACCCCCAGCTCCTGACAACCACTGATTTGCTTCCTAGCTCTGTGGATTTGCCTATTTTGAATATCTGTCATCAATGGAGTCATAACATATGTAGCCTGTGTCTGGCTTCTTTCAATTAGCATAATACTCTCAAGGTTCAGTCAAGCCCTAGCATTCATCCATTCATCCACTGACCGTCATCTAAGTTATCTCCACCTTTGCCTATTGGGCACTGTGCTACTATGGACATCCGAACCTAAGCTTTTGATATAACACCTATTTTCACTTCCTCTGGGCATGCACTGGGTGAACTGCTGGGTTACTGGGTCATACTGCTTCCTTAAGGAACTATTCCCTCTTCCTTTTACAGTAGCAAGGCTGGATGGGATCTCAAAAGTGACCTAGTATACTGCTTCTCACTTTTGGAGAAAGCTACGGTCACTGTACCCTCTCCTGCTGAAGTAGGAGGGGCTTTGTCAAAATTGATCCAATTTTAGTCGATGCACTGCCCCAGTGGGCACAAGACTTGGTCAGACTCAAGGCCAACTCTGTAAAATGACCAGCTCAGCATCAGGTAAACTAACTGCTCCTTCTTGCTTTTCTCCTTTCACCTGGCACTGGCATGTGGAGCCACTTCCCTGGCCCATGCCCTCTTCAGCGGCCTTGGTGTAGGCTTGGCCAGTCTCTGGGACCTCCAGGGATCCTGCCCTTCCAGGCAGCTCTGGTCCCTACAGTCTTTCTCCGAAGGAGCTGCCCGGCCCTCTGCAGCCTACAGCCTCGCTCCAACTCCTGGACACAACCATCTGCTTCCCTAATCATCCCGGGGCTGAGCATTTCAGTACAAGGCACAGAAGACCATGGATGAAGCCAATTTGCAAAAGAAAGTGGACTTCCAAGCCACTACAGTATTCCACATGCCCTGCCCCCACCATGAACCAGCACCTACATGACAAGTGCCACTTGTTCATTTTGTCGTTGACTGGGTTACTCTGACAAGCAGCAAAACATCACAAAGACAACATGGACCCCGGGGTGAGACCTGCATTCAAACTAATGCTGTGTGTGACCTAAGTAAAGCTGGTTTCTATTGGTGTGCCCCAGTCACCAAACTGACAGGAAGGGACCTCTAAGTCTCCTAGGGTTCCTGTGACTCACAAAAGTGAGAAGAACAATGCACTATTATTTAAAATACACAGCTTGGCAAACAAAAATCCAAATCAAGTCCTGGTATGAGAAAAACAATAATGTCACAATAAAAAGAGGTGTCTGACACGAGGAAGACAGAAACTGCTCTGTAGGTCTGAAACAAAATGGCCCTGACCTTGGACCAGTGGCTTTGATGAGGACTTGCGGCAAGGCTGATGCTGACCCCAAGCACCATGAGTCTCCTGAGAAAGATGGTCATGCCTATGGCGGAGAGATGGGTTCCCACAGGAAATGGGAATGGGTTGGGGGAGTCCCTAGGAGACCCTATGATGGACAGCTGGCTCCACTCCATTTTCAGGGAACAGCAGATTGTGGTTTGGCCATAGGAAGGAAGCCCAGTGGGAGGCCAATGGCTAAAGACAAGTGGCCAGGGCTTTGATCTCTCACCCCTTGTGGTTCTTCCTGTGCCACCCCCAGGACCTAGTGAACTGCTGTCCACCCGGGCTTCATTTCTCAGTCAAGGAGCTGTCACTAAGGTAGAGTTTAAGGCTGTTCTGAGAAGGAGCAGAGTCCCCTGAGCCAATGGAGAACCTAGCAAGCCCACAAGAAATCCCTGAGGAACACACACACAACTCCTAGAGGAAAGGGACCCCCACTCAGGAGGAGAGCCATCCTCTCCAGCCAGTCCCGCTGGATTTGGCAGTGGCTTTATTAGAGAAAACACCAAATCTCTTTCCACACTGAACAGGACCCATCGGTTAAAAAGTCATAATTAACTTGCTCGAAATGAACAAGGACAGTCACAGAGGATGCTTCATCTCTCCACGTCACCGTCTGCAGATGTCACCTTCTTCTGGGCCGCAGGAAAGATCCTAGGCGCTGCATGTGGCACTTGGCTTGGGTGGACAGCTCAAAGGAGATGTCCGCGGCCTTTAGCTGCTGGCCTGTGTGATGTCTTCAGGTAGCTCCAAGGAAGAAGTAAATGAGAGGGGCTCCCCTCTGCCCCATGGCTGGATCAGACTCTGTGATTTGATCAGACAGCGTTCTTTCTTTCTGTCCACCTTGGTGTGAATCCCAGTGACACAAATACCCAAGGTCAGGAACAGCTGAGGACAGGAACCCATGGGCCACGCCTGGCTTCCTTGTGACCTGGATGCAGGCGGAGTCATCCAAACTGCTGCTACCTTTCGCTGGGGGCTGCTGCTTCTGGCCTCACCCAATCAGCCATGGCTACAGGGCAGGTGGGATAGAAGGGGGAGGCAGAGAGAGAGGGAGAGGGACTGATGTAAAAGGTATAATTATCTCCAAAAGACCTGACACGCACAGCTCTATTGCGAAAAGGGTTTTCCCGCCCTCATCTGATCCTCAGAACCTGGGGGATGGCTACTCTCTAGCAACCAAAAGGTAAACTCAGGCTCGAGGAGATGAGGAAACATGCTCCATGTTACCCAATGAGAAGTGGCTGTCAAAACCCATACTAGGTCTGGCTTTACCTCCTCCAGTGTTCTTTCCAGGGGACACTTGCTTCTCTGTATTTTAAAGAAAATGACTGAAAATCAGAAACACAAGACTCTAACTTAGCCCTCTCCTGTCCTGTTGACATTTAATGCACACAGGTTACATGCTGCCTTTGCAATGCTGTTCACTCTGGTACCCCTTCTTCTCGCTATCTGTGGCCATGCCCTCCAGGACTAGCTCCAGCTCCTTTCTCTGAGCCTGCCTCAGCCACTGACAACTGTCCCTGGGCCATGCCCCTCACCTGCACGCACTGTTACTGTAGGACACAATACACAGCACTCACTGCCTGCTCCTGCACTTGTGCCCTATAGGAGACTGTAGTCTCCAGAACACTAAGATGACGCCCTGTGGATCCAGAGCACAAGGCTGGCACAGGACGGATGAAAAAATGAGAAAGGAGGCAATCTCTCCACAAAACCACCTGGCCTCCACCCAACCTCTAGCACGGAGGCAGGGAGGAGGGAGCCTTGCTCTGGCCAGCAGGGCCCTGGACACCCAGCACACACTCTTCAACCTGCAGAGATGCCCAGGACAGAGAACCCTCCTAGTCAGCAGCCTCCCTCACCTCTGTATCCCACTGCTAACTAGACCACTTCTGAGGACAACTGCTGGGGACAGAAGAAGCGGCTGGTGAAGATTATGCCCTGACTGAGCCCCCATGGCTGCCACAGTTGTAGCTAAGGCCACATTTCCCCAGCAGTGCTGAAGGGACCCCAGTCTTGCAAGAGCATCTTGGAGAAGACACAGGTGGGAAATGCTATGAACTCTGTGTCCTGTGAAGAGGGCTGGGCTGAAGGACCCAGCTGGGTCCTGTCTTGACTGTAATTCAGGATCTACCTGATCACGGACTTTCACCTAACTTCACATACACACCCTTAGTTGTCTTTACAAAATATTTTTAACACCCCGTGGAGTTAGTGCTCTAAAGGGAACACTTTGGGAGACACCTGTGAAGGTCACCAAGGAAGGGAAGCACTTCTTGTGGAGAGGGACAGCCTCCTACAAGCAGGCTAGAGACAGGTAGAGTCCCTAGGAAGAAGGGAGATGAAGGCCCAGGAAGGGGATCAGGGACCCTTCATCAATGAGTACACAATCTGCCTAGAGTAAAAGCCCTGGAACCACCAGAGTTCAGAGAAAAACATAGGAAGGGGCAGCACCCAGAACCTCGGGTTTCCTGCCTGCAGATGGGGAGTGACCAGCCCTGCTCTGTCCAGGGACCTCAGACAGGACCATGGAGGTGTGCGTGCATGGTCCACGCTTCACAGGTGTTGAGTCAAGCTTGTCTATCTGCCCATTATGGGGAGGACAGGATGACAGCACCAAGCTTCAAAATCTTGGTGTAAACTCCAGGAGCATGGGCAAGCCCTGAGGACACTGAAACTGCCAGAATCATTGAGGTGTTCAGCTCCAAGAGTCTATGGTTCCAAGGCCAGCTCTGGGCCTGCAGGGCTGCGTAATGGCAAGCAGCCTGCTTACCCTACTTTCTCCATGTACAGGGTGAAGTCAAACAACGGTACCTCCGGGGTGGCTGTAAGGATGCAGGACAATGTGGTAAATCTTGAGCACACAATTGGTGCTCCGTGAGCACGTCCCCCTGAAGAACAATGGGGAACCTTCGTACAGATGTCTGTCCAGATGACTAAAATGCAGTTTCTTCTTCAGTCATGTGGGACATGAGCTTCTGCACGCAGTGGGTGGAGGCAGAGGGAGAGGGACAGCTACGAAGCAGGCAGGCAAAGAGCATCCATGAAGCTCTGGGCAATGTGGTGATGACCGCTCCAAAGGCCAGCATGGAGGGAACTGCTTTTTTTTTTTGGCAGCATGAGCGGAGACAAGAGGATCTCAGGCAATTGCCTTTGGCGGCCAAGGGAGACAGATGAGAGATGGCGGGCACAGCTTGTGACAAGGGTGAGAGTTCTAAGGACACCATCTGCTGGCTGCTCCTTATGGACCAAGTGCTTGACGCACCCAGGCTCCCAGTTCCAGCTAAGATGGGCTGAGGAAACTTCCTGCCACGTCAGCAGCCAGGAAGGGGGCTGGATCTGCACCCAGAGCACAGGCTCTTCCCACCCGCCCTGCTGCCCCTTGAGGTTGGGGCCACACGTTCACAGGTCTTCTCCTGCCTGTCCAGATCTTCCAGGGTGGGGACGGGGGACAGCTCTGGCTCCCTGTGCATGCCTGTGTAACAGGAATTTAAACACTGGGGCCCAATACAGTATGACGTGGTAGGATGACACATGGGTCAGTGCACTTTCGAGAAACACAGCATTAACAGGGCTTAGAAGAAATTCCGGATTCTGTAGATTTCTTTGCCTAGAAAATCTGAGTACTGGATTCTTCTCACAGAGTGGTACCGTGGTCTCCTGCTCCTATATGCAGGGCAGAAAGCCCTGTGTGACCCAGGAGAGCAGCCGGGAAGCCCTGCAGTACTATCTCTGCCTGCCTGTACGCTTTACAGGAAGGGAAACTGCAGGCCAGAAAGGAAGGATCCACACAATAAGCCCTCTCCCACATGAATGCTGCCTTTGCAATAAAAAAAATGCACAGACACACATCCCAATGCCTGACGTGTACCACATGCAGCACAGGTAGTAAAGTCTAAAGCTGCAACATATAAAGCATGGAGGGATTTCCATGGCTCAGAGCACAAGTTCTGTGTAAGGATGTTGAGAAAGGCTTCCTCTGGGAAGTGACTTAAGCCACGAGGGACAAGTTAGAGCTTTTAAAGTTAGACATGACAAGGAGGGATATCCTTCCATCAGATTCCTTACTAAGTTGGAGCGTTGCTGGGAAGCAAACAAGTAGAAACTACATTTCCCAGCCTCCTTTGCAATCAGGTAGAGCCACATGATGACCAGTGACCAATGTAATGTGAACAGGAGGGAGAAGTGTCAGCTAAGGGCAAAGAAGGTAAGAAGAGGCTGGGCTGGCTGTTCCCACCATCCTTTTCCTCTTCTGTTGGGGATGGCAGGGTACAAGAGCAACAGAACTGAGTTCCCCAGTCACTGTGAAACCATGTGCCCACTACAAGTACTTTACTAGACTCTTAGGAGAGTACTGGCCTCTGCATATGACAGTCTGGCAGTGCAACAACCTTAACTGATGCTGCAGGGACTGGAGGGAGGGGATCCTGACAGAACAAAGGAGCAGGCACAGTGGGGTGCAAACATGGCACATTTTGGGGAAGCACGGGATTGGTCCTAACTATCAGAAGGAGTATCTGGGCTCAGAGAACTCACGCTGATGGCCCCAGCAAGGAGGATCACGTACAGGGACTATTGCCAGGGGCCCTGGTATTGCTGGCACTGCTCTCGAAGGACGAGTGGAAGTTGTGAATGGTTTCCTGTAAAATCTGTCTCTCGCGTCCCTGTGGAAGAAAATGAAAATATACATAGAAAATCCTGTTAAATCTTTTTAAACCATGAATTCAACTGATACACTGTGGTTAATGCTCAATTCACTTGAAAAACTCATGGAGTCTTGGGGAAAATAAGTGTCCGAATTGGGAGTATCAAGTTGAATAAAAACATAGTGAGTCAGGAGTTCCCCTAGTACCCGCAGGGCTGGTAGGGAGCACTGGTTGCAGGGGTTCAAACTCTGGACAAGGTGGGCAGGCTCAACTTGCCTCATTTGTGATTCTTCCCAGGCATGATTTCCAGAAAATTTAATAGAAGTCCATCCAACCCCCATGTTTTGAGATGGGAAAAAAAAGGAGGTGGATGCTGAGTGTCCAGATGAGAAGTAGCCACACAGCAAGATTAAGAATAGACTGGAATCAAAGAGCCTGGATTCAAATCCTACCTCTCCCACTTACTAACTGAGTGACCTTCAACAAAATACTCAATTCCTCAATCCCTCATCTATAAAATGGGATAATAACAGTACCTCAGAAGGTTGCTGATGACATGGTACCCTGTGGGGTGGCAGGAGCAGGCTGTCCTGCCCCCAGAGGGCAGTGGTGTGAATTAAGCATTTTCTTTCTAAGTTAATAACTAAACGTGGTCAGAACAAAAAGCAAATTAAATATGTATCACCTTTGGCAGACTGTTTTCTAAGATTAATAAGAAAAACATCCCCACTGACTGAGCCTAGACAGCAAACTGTCTTTCATTTCCCGAACTCCCCACACCAGAGAGGGCTCCTCTCCAGAGTTCCTCTGTGCTATGAGGTTCTCTAGACCCCTGAAAGGACAGTAGGGTTCTCCCTCGTGTCAATCCCTGCAAATGATCTTAAATAAGCTGCCGAAATGCTTTAAAATTCGAGACACAAACCCTAAGGCTGCAGGGGAAGCACAGGGCACTGAACATGAGGCAAAGGACCCAAAAGCCCTGCTCCACCAGGGATCGGTGCTGGCCTCCCCAGTGCGACCCCATTCCACAGAGCTTCCGTGTCTGTAAAATGGGGTAATGTACCCTGCCCTGGAGGCCTTGAAGTTCAAGCTGAGATAATGAATAGGGTGGCCCGGCGCTGGCTCGGAGGGCTGGAGAGTATAAATGGAAAGATGACAAGTGCTTTTATTACTAAATGCCACCTCCATCTTAATTGTTTGAGAAATGAGGTCAGGGGACACAGGGCTCAGTACTTGGTGCCTCCTAACCTTTGGAGGGAGCTGTGCATGATTAAAGGCATAACCGCTCCCCACATCACAAATGACCAAAGAGGATAGTGGTAACTGCCCTTTAGAAGTCCCCAATTCTCAAAGGACTTGTCTGCAAATCTCAAAAGCAAAAAAAAAATGTAGAAAAAGGTTTAACCTAACTGGCATTTAAAGCAATGCAAATTAAAATCAGGCACATTTTTTTCTCCTGTCAAATTAATAATGATTAAAAATCCAACTGATGGGAGGATTGCAAGTTTGAGCCCAGCCTGGGAAACTTAGCAACTTAGTCTGCAAACAAACAAACACACAGACTAGGGATGCAGCTCATTGCAAATGCCCTGAGTGCAATCCCGAGGACCATAAAAACAAAAAGCCCCAACTGACAGACAAGACTGCAGAATGGGAACTGTCATAACCACAGCACAGGTGCTCACTGGCTCTTTCTGGAAGAACTTCAGAAAGACATCCATATACGCTGAGCCTGGCTCTTGGACTCAGTGATTTCTATTTCAGACGTCTACTCTGGGGGGATAAGTCAAAACCCTTACATACATATAACACACAGAGTCGTCTACTGCAGCTCCGTTTTTATACATCTACATATCTAACAAGGAGGGGTTTTAAAAAATACTTTTAGTGCACCTTTGCAAATTTATTATACGAAAAATACTTAAGTGGTAGCCACATACATTTCATGTTAAACAAAAAAACCAGGATATAAATTTAAAGATCCAAATTTATCTCACCACTGGGGTAGGGGTAAAAAAGAGAAACATTTAGCATGAAACATTGCAGAGTAATCACCTGAAGTGAACAGCACTTGCTATGAAGTGGTTGGGATGTGATTTCTTAAAAGGAATTCTTTCCACCATTTTGGTAAGGTGCAAATTTAGCAAAATGGAAGGACACAAAAGAGGAAATAGGAAAAAAAAAAAAAAACAAGGCTTAGGACCAACTAAGGGTGGGGACCCTTCTCCAATGCATTTCTCATCTGACCATGACAGACTAATAAGCAGACCCAAACACACACATAGTTCTCAAATACCTGGGTGGGCTCACCGGCTAGTTATGCAGCCTGCTTAAAAACATTCGTGCTTTTTCAATGCTAGGCCTCTGGCTGGGGTGCAGCTCGGTGGCACAGCACTTGCTTAGTATGTGGCACCTTGGGCTTGATCCCCAGCACCACAAAAAACAAAAACAAAAAATATGACACTGACACTATTGTGCCTGATAGTATTTGCTGGTACTGTACATTAAGAGGAGTCAGGGTTTGGGTTTATGTTCACTTAAAAATTTTTAGGCTACAGTGCTCAAATGTTTGGCTGATTTTTATTTTGATTGTGTAAGAAATGCGTTTTTCTTATTTTTCTGGAAACACAACCCCATTTCGTGTAAACATATTAACTGAAACAAGTATTACTCTTTCTACCTGCAAGGCCTGCTGACAGTTTCTACTCTATCTCATTGTTTAAAAATGCTTGTAACCTACTAAATTGATTTTACACCCTCCTAGCATGCTGCAGAGCACAGCTAGAAAAGATACTCGTGACCAAGAAAAGTGAGGCTTCCTTGTTGCACTGGCTCTGGTCTGGGTTCCTGACTGCATTCAGGTCATTTGAGCCAAAGGCTGAGCGTGGGAAGCAAAAGAAAAGAAAGATCTAAGCTGGGCACGGTGGCCCTCAGGGAGGCTAAGGCAGGAGGATCATGAGTTTGAACTCAGTGATTTAGCAAGATCCTGTCTTAAACAAGAGAGGTGGGGTGGGGGAAGTAGCTCAGCAAGAAGGCCCCGGATTTGATCTCCAGTATGAAAAAGAGGGAAGGAAAAACTAGAAACTTTCAGGCACCAGGGGTGGATTTAATGTTTCATGAAACAATAACTATTCCAGGGCCAGCGCCTTAGCTCAGCAGCATATGGGTTATGAGTTCAATCCTCAGTACCAAAAAAACCCAAAAAACAAAAAACTATTTTATGGGCCAGGGATGCAGCTTGATAGCTCAGTGCCTGCCTGGCAAGCATGAAGTCCTGAGTTCCATTCCCAGTGCACACACAAAAAGATAACTATTCCAGACTAGGGGTGGGGTGGGGGTGATTCAAGCACATTACATTCATTGTGCATTTATTTCTAATATTACTACACTGTGTATTTTATTTATATTACTATTGCATTTTGCCCTTCATTTCTATTCTTATTATATTAGAGTCTCATGCAGAACTCCAGATCCCTCACATGAGCAGGTCCCAGCAGGGTTCGTGCTGCCATGGGAATCTAAGGCCACAGCCACTGTGACAGGGGTGGAGCTCCAGTGGTGATGTCAGCCATGGGGACAGGACTGCTGGGTGGCATCACCTGACTTTGCGGGTTGGGTGCCAACTGGAGAAGGATGTGTGGAGGATGAAGAGGCGTCTACGGGGTGTCTTGGTGGGAGCTGATGGCTTGGGTCCTCAGGGAGGACTGCCAACACCTGTCCCTTCTGGAGCTTACTCTGATGAGGCCTATACTAAAAATCAGGGAGGAGATGTGTGGTGGATTTGAGGGGAAAACTGATTTTGGATAATTTTGTACAGGTGCCTCCCTCGGCCTGGTTTGCACTTTTCTTCTGTCCATTTATCCTTCCTTCGGGTCTCAGCTCCCCACTGCTACCTCAGGGGGCTCCCTCTGGTCCTTGCTCTCCTGGCTTACATGTGGTGTCGGAAGCTGTCCAAGCTTCTGACCACCACACACTTCTCCTGTCCTGTGCCTGTGTTAGTTAGAGAGACATGTCCTGCATGTGAGTAGTCACCAACGCAGGGTTCTGGTCCCGGATCTGCCACTGACTGGCTGAGATCCAGGACAGACTCTCCCAAACCTCTGCTTCGGCTTCCTCCCGTGAACTGGAGCAAGCTCAGCAGCACTGGTGAAGGTTAGACCGAGCAGCCACGTGTGACGTGCTCATGGGATGGGGCTAGCTATGAAATGCTGACCGCCCAGCATCCACACAGTGCTTGGGCCATGGCAGACTCCTCGGGGGCTCCTGCCTGTGGGTAAACCAAAGCTCCCAGGACTTCAGGGGTTATTTTTGCTGACTGCCAAGTGAGCCACCCTGCCTTCGCTCCCCGGTGATGCCCTTACTGCAGCTCCACACCTGCCTCACCTCTCCCCACCAAAGCCTCGGGACAGAGTTGGGTAAGAGCAGCAGCGCTGGGCTGGAAGCCAGAGTTCATGGTCCACCTCCGAGCCTAGACTTCCCCTATAGCATGCAGCCCAGGCCCAGGGTACAGCTAAGGATGTTAGGGACATTTGCACAGGAGAAAGGACCAGCCCAGGCCCTGCTGGAGCAATGCTAACTACATCACTTTGAAGGATCAGCTTGCAGCTCGGGAATAGGCAACAAGGACAATGACAACAAAAACAAACGAAAGCCACCCACCCCCAGTGCTGGCAGGGCTAGGAGGTCCTCCCTGACTGGGAGCTCTGCTCTGGGCCTGGCTGGGGAAATGTACACAGTGACTTGTCAGTGATACAGTGCTACGTAAATACTTATTTGCTGCTGATGCTGTTCATCTGTTCAACATTTTTGTGCATACCCTGGCAATATACAGAATGAACCATAACCTCACAGGGCAACGCACAACCTGAGGAGCAAAACACAAGACAGGGGGAAAAGAGGAAGAGACAGAAACGTCCCTAATGGTAACAGTTATATATCACTGCAAAGTCCTAGACATGCCATTCCTCCCCACCAAGTGGGCAGCTGTGAGTCAGTGTGAGCAGACAACAGGTGAAACAATGCCATCTGTCACCAGTAGAGGAGACACAGAAAGATCCATTCTACATTAGGGGAAAGAAGTAATGGCAGAGGATCTCAGCCCCCGGCAGCAACCGCAGCCACCGTCTGCGGAGTGAGGGAGGAGGATCCGCCTCTCTGGTTCTGTGATTTGGCTTTTACTGGATGTGTGCGCCTCCAGGCAGGGTGCGAGGCACCACGGATCTTTGGCAGTAAAGCTAATGAGACAGAAACTTAACGTCAGACCAAAATACAGGGTGCCAATATCATCAGCGGTGATTGACAGCTCTGGGTGTCCAGTGCCCTTCCAGGCATTTTAGTCCTGGAAATAGCACTGCCACCCCTACAGGGAGGACAGTGAGGCTCAGGGAAGTGCCCGCCTGGCCCTGGGATTCCAACCCAGCCAGCCAGACTCCAGAGCTCCTGAGGGTGACATCTGGCACTGAGGGTTGAAATTACCCGAGGGAGTATCTTTGCCAAATTTGAATAGCAAAAGCTGACGGTGGAGGAAGCAGAACTGGGAGGCAGGAAGTATGCCAGTGAGGCTGGCCTCCATCCGAGGTGCATGGGGGTTGAGTGAGTCCACCGCAAAGGTCCAGGCGGCTGGAAAATCTCTCAGCAGCCTGAGAAGGAAAGTAGGCGGCTTCCAATGAATACCTTGCCTGCGTTCAGTTCAGAGATGGCCGCCAGGATCTGCTGCCGGGACCCATCTGTCTTGATGCCCAGCTCCTGCAGGTCGCCGTCAGTGAGTGTGAGGAAGGCTTCCATGTCCACCTGGGAAGAGAAAGTCCACTACCATCTGCAGGGCTACGCTCTTCTCCCAGTGCCACAGAGCTGCCGTAACGAGGCATAACTAACTAGTGCTTATTAGTAGGGAATTCATTACGACATTCCACTTCCAACCCAGGCTTCCTATTTCAAAGTTTAGTTGAAAATATTACACACAAACTCTCTTCAGCTTGGGACCTTGATTTTCCAAATGATAGCATTTTAGAATAGGCCCTTATAATGAAACAAAATGTCAGAAGTCTCCAAGACGGGAATCTGAGCAGGGGGCATGGTCAGCTCCAAGTGCTGGCAGTACAAAGGCCATCCCAGTGCCACCGCACTGTGAGCAACACTGGACACTGCCCAAGACAGTGTGGGCGCGTGGCTGTACTCCCCTCGGCTCCCTCACAGAGGACACGAGAAGTGCAAACTACAGAGAGACAGAGCAAGAACGTGAGCAGAAGCGATGACAGACAGGCCACAGAAAACCAAGGTGATGAGCCAGGACCAGGCACCCCAACACCACACACCCCGTAGTTTCTATGGGTGAAATTCTAATTGCTCTGTCATCTGTGCCTGGGCCCTGGAGAGGAAGCTTGGTTCTGCCCCAGGAGAATGGCTACCTGGCCTCTGTCTCTTTAAGGCAGGAGGAGAGGAGGTCAAAAGTGGTTCCAGTAGATTAAGCACATCTACTGTGGTGTAGGTAAGGTGACAACAGTTTTAGACCCAAAGGGATAAAGAACAGGCCTTAACGCTCAGGAAATCCAATCCAATATGCCCCAAACTTCATAAGGAATGTAGATGTGATGGCTGGAGCTCTAGTAGCCACACTGACTTTTTGAGAGAAGGGCGACACAAGCTGGTGGCAGTGGTGCAGAAAGCTGGAGGGAGCCTGGATGCTTCACCTTCAATTTTTTTTTTTTTTTTTTTTTGAGGCAGGGTCTAGTTATATAGTTCAAATTGGCCTTCAACTCACTCTGTAGGCCAAGCTGGCCTTGAATTTGCGTCAACCCTCCTGTCTTAGCCTCCTGAATGTTGAGATTATAGATGTGTGCCACCATGCTCAGCTACCTCCAAACTTTCTGTGGCAGAAATGACCTATTTTGTAAAGACACCATTCTTTTTTTTAAAATACATGTAGCCAAATCGAAGCCATTCTAATACAAGTAGAAAATTGAAAATTATTTGTCCTGCAGTTTCACGATGCCATGATGAGAACACGTCTGAACCCAAGTGCTCTTTCCAGTTCTCACTGATGACTGAAAGCATACAATGCCGGGGAGAAATTTTACCAGCCCTGGGAATGAGGAAAGAGAGTTCCCCACACACCAGAGACTTCAAGGAGTTCCTGCAGGGACCAAGAAGCATCTGTGTGGTAAGGGACTGGGCTGGGGGCATGAGTGGGGTCACCAGTGGGATTAAAACCCCATCTGACTCAGGCCTCCAAGGGGAGCCCTGGGCTGTGGGTCATACAGAGAAGAATCCTCACAGAGCTGCAGGACTTGTAAGTCACAGGAGGAGACACTGGGCTTGGCTCCTGACAGGGGCAGATGACCGAGCGCTGCGTCAGCTCCCCAAGCCCATTACCCTGGGCAGTTCTCCAGCAGTAGCTCCCAGCCATCCCAGCGCAAGGCTGAGGCCCTGGCTCCCACCCTAGCTCTGAAAGTCATGGAGACCTCTGGCGGGCAAATTCAGCCAAACAAACAGCCAACGTGCACGCCCTACCTCCCCGACCTGCAGATCCGGACGCTTCACACCTTGGCTGCAACACACCTTGGTGCCTAGAGCAGACGGCTCCCGCAGCCTCGGAAAACGAAGGACAGAGCCCAGACACGCTAGCTTAGAGAAGAGGGGAGAGCCGAGAAGGCAGAACAGACACTGTCTTCAGAAAAGAGGTGAGCTGTGTCCTCCCGCCCCCAAGGAGGACGCAGGGCATTTCAGACAGAAGCAGGTAGCCGGCAGCAATCGTGAAAGATTTTTCACAAAGGAGAAAAACACTGCTGAAGTGTCCAGTGTTAAGGAGGAGGAAGGACAGATGGGTGCAACAGAGAAGTAACCAGAGAGGGCAAGCCACCGCACCACGCTCGCCTCTTAAATCAAAACACAAACGCCTCTCTGTATCTCAGGCTTCTTGGGGACAATCAGTAACTCTCATGATTGTTACTGTAATTAGGGTGATTTTCATGTGCTAAGCTGGGCACCAGCACATTCTAAACCAGTGATTACAACCTGGTGCTAGTGGGCCCGCAGAGTTTTATTTGACTAAAATGGTGCATTTCTTTTAACACTTTACTGAGATGTAATTCACCTGCCACACAGCTACGATTCCGTGATCTGCAGTATATTGTTACACAACCATCACCATCCTCAGTTTTAAAGCATTTGTGTCGTGCCCCAAAGAAACCCCAAATCCATTAGCAGTCAGCTCCCACCCTGCCTCCCCCAGCCGCCGGCAACCATGAATGTCCTTTCTGTCTCCACAGAGTTGCCTAGTCTAGACGTTTCACATAAATAAGATCACACCGTATGTGGCCTTTGGTGACTCCTTCATTTAGTATGTTTTCAGGATTCCTCCTTGTTGTGTCACGTACCGTTCTTTCATTCTTTCTATGGCCAAATAATATTCAATTGTACAGAGGCGTCACCCTATATTTTTCTTTTCAGCTCATGAGCACTGAGATTTTTCGCTTTTTGGCTAGCATAAATAATGCTGCAATGAACATCTGTGTACAAGTTTTTGTGTGGATGTATGTGATTTCTCTTGAGGGTATATTTGGGAGATTTGTTAGGTCATATGATAACTCTAAATTTAACATTTTAAGGAAGTGCCAGACAGCAGCAGCACAATGATTTTTTAAAGATGATTTTGAATGCTAAGCACATACAAACTCTTGAATTACCGCACTACTTCCAGTCACATAACACAGATTCTTCAGGACCTGCTTGCGGTTCACTTTAAACCTGTAAACCTACCAATCAGTTCTGTGCAACAAAAATATTTTCAGGATCAACACGAATTTTTCTAGAAAAAACCAGTGCTCAAAGTTACAGAATCCAATTATAAGAGATTAAGCCATAAGGTCCCGGGATTTCACTGTAAGAACTGAACTAATGTGGTGAACACGATTTCTATTTCCGTGGCTGTCTTGGTGAGAAAGAGCAATCCAGGCCTATGGAATGAAAACCACATGCTCAGTTTCATTTTTTGCTTTGTTTTGTTTTTTAACAGCCGGATTTAAATGGACATCCCCAAAAAACATCCTTACCTCTTGTTCCTCAAAAATGGGCTGGTATTTTTCAAGTGATAATTTCTTAAGGATTCCGGTCAGCTCATCTTCAATTGAGTAAGATGCGAAAGAAAAAAAAAAAAAAAAAACACATTGTACGATTTCACGAAGTATCAAGAGCCGTATTCAGACTCCTATAAAATAATGACCACTTTATTTCAAACGAGGTCCAAACACAATCTCAGTACAGGAAGCAGCCCTGTGCTGTGCTCCCGTGGGTGAGCTGCCAGTGGTCCTGAGCTATCTGCCAACCGTGCAGGTCTTTGGCACACTGGGGCTATCTGCCAGGCCCAGTGCAGGTCTTTGGCACAGCAGCCCCAAATCCACAGCAATCAAGTTCGCAGGGCTCCTGCTGCCTCCTTCAGGGCAAGGCTGAAGGGTCATTGTCAAACTCCAAGACGGAGGAGAAAGAAGTCAGAGCAGCTGCTGGGCTGCAGAGCAGAGTTGGTTTGGCTCAGTGCATGCATGCAGGGCCTTCCTGAAGGCGGGATGGACATGAGTCCCACATGGAGCTGGGAGGGCACAGACCAGAGGATACATGTGGGGTATCAGCTGGCCGGAGAGGCAAAGGAGACAAGACCAGAGTCTGGGGGCTTGAGGATATACACATTGTAGACTCGGAACTGGGGGCTCAAAGGGACCCAATTAGGTGACACAGGCTGATAAACCACAGGCAGGAATGAAGGAGCGAGTGGGGTGGGGCAGGCAATAGAGGGCAGGGAGATGCTATTCTGCAGAGGGTGGTCAGTGAAGGTCTCCTTACCAGGTGATCTGAGCAGTAAATAAGGAGCAGAAGTAGGTATCCAAAGAAAGAGGCAGCACCCAAGAAGAGAGAACAGGAGGTACAAAGGTCCTGAGGCAGTGGATGAATTGAAAGAAGAGAATGGATCTGGTTCCTTCTTTCATTCACTCATACACTCAGCAGTATGTCTGCTGCCTGCTAGGCACAGAGAGACACAGAGACCCTGCGGGGAACCTGATGGTCAACAGAACGATGGAGGTGCTAGCTCTCCACTGCACGCATGGTACTGGCCACTGGGCACTCTCTATGGATGACCCATTTCCTCCTTTATCACCATCCCGGGAGGCAGACATTGCTGCTGTCATATGCAGAAGGTGAGGCACAGAGACGTTGGATATTAGTCTTGGGTGAGTTCACGTTGCTAGATCCTGGCAAGAAGGGACTCAAACCCAGTGGCCTGCCTTTCTGGCCAGAGCTAAACTCCTTCTCTGCTGCTTCGGTCACAGTGATACATGCTGGAGTGAAAGGCAAAGACACAGGCTGTGGGACAGAGAGGACAGCTGGCACAGCCAAAGGACTGGGGAAGACTTCCCCAAAGAGGGCAACTGGGAAACCAAGTCCAATCCATACCTAACTTCCACTGTACTTCCACAACGGCACACTTTGCTCATGCGGCCCCTTGGTGTCTGTACAGTGGCGTGCGTGAGGGGGTCTAACAGCTGGCCCTGTGGGAGGTGCATGTGTGTACAGTACGCAAGTCACTGCAGAGCTGAGTGGTATGTCGGATGGAGAGCACACTGGAAGAATAAAATAGGCAGCATTCCTCATTTTAAGTTCCATGGAACCAACTAAGCCTCCCCAAATGCTTTCAACTGACTTCTCTCTACTCTTACATTCACGGCCAAGGAGAATAGCTCCACAGGAACGCTGGTTGCCAGTTTTGCTTACATGAACAAGTAAGAAAAAATGAAAAGATGAAGACGTACATTGAAACTCTGTGAGCAGCTTGACTAAGGTGGATCACACTTTTCACACACTAGATAAATATTTTCTCAATTGTTTGTGCTATTTACAATTACTGTATAATAGCATCAGACCTGACACACTCAAGTTTAACCCTCATTATTAACATTTTTATCTTTTACGGTCTGGGTCATGTCTAGAAGTCAAGTCCTGAGTGGTGGTGTTTGCCAATTTCTGCAGTGTAAATACCTGCACTGCAATCCTTTGGAATCTACCACTGACATCGCAAGTACAGCTAGTAAGAGGCAGACAGCAGCACACCACCACCACCCAGGGCTCCACCACACAGTGGGGAAGTGGAAACAGCCTCAAGACATATCTGACGGTCAAGTGTGCCAAAGAGTTAGCAAAGAACACATTTTCTGAGACTACAGTTCACCTACATACTTCATAATTTGATCAACTGTAAGAGTGTGTCATTTGACTTTTAATGATGACTGTCATTTCCTGTACATTTAACAGCCAGCTCTGGTGCACAGCTGCCCCAACCCTTCTCAGCCCTTGTGTTCCCATACAAGCGATGCTTTCCCTGGGGGTCCTGCAGGGGACACTAAACTTTGCTAACAGCTTAAGTTTGTTTGCCACTATGATATTAAATAAATGACTGTGAGTCCCCCTCACACCTGGCACAAGTGACAGCACCTGCTGACCGCCCCGAGGCTTCTAGGGACACATGTGAGGCTGACAGGCAACATCATCACAGCCTGGCCGCTTCCAGCATGAGAAGGCTGCACAGGGGGATGCAGGTGGATAGACGGAGCAAGGAAATCCTGCATGCAGTCCTCAACAGGGTCCCTCATTTCTCAGAGAAAGATCAGGAAGAAAACTGTGTGGGATGGACCGAGGCTGCTGTCCTGTGACAATCTTATGTCAACAGGACAAAGATCTCACTACCTTAGAGAAAACCAAGCTTTTTGTAAACCAGAGCAATTAACCTGGGATGTAACCACTGTTAGGTCTCCTCTCTTTTTTTTTTTTTTTTTTTTTTTTCATCCCAGTTAGGACTTTAAACCTTCCTTTATAAAGAGCAAGAGGAGAAGGCATGCATGGGCAGTATATACAGAGACTCAGTCACAGCTCTTCTTTGAAAAAGATATGGTATAAATCTCTAACTGAATCTCTTAAGGTTCGGGTTCCTAACGACCTTGGAGGAGGAGAACTCAGGAATGGAGACTTTCAGTCTCCACATGGAAAGCCTGGGCAGGAGGACAAGGTTGTCAGTGAGTCTCGGAAGCCTGTGTGAATGATTGGGGGGATACCTCTCAACAATATAAAGCAGCCCCCAAAATAGAAAGGAAACAAGAGGAGCACTCGGTCATCAACTCTGTACAGACAGACGTTGTGCAGAGGATTCCAGTTCATTGATGATTCCAGCAGACCCTCCTGGGTACCCGCCTCCCTGGCCCTGCACTGAGCTACCAGCACCACGCCTGGAAGGGCCCACCAGGGCCATCTTCTTTCCCTATGATTTATACATCTTGATTCGCACCTGCCTGGGCCCTTCTCTCACCGAAGCTACCAGCACTCAGCGCCCCCAAAGGGCAATTTGAAAGGATGAAGTCTTCTCTCCCTTTATCTTTCCTGCGCCTCACTCCCAAGCCTCCACCCCTGTCCTGCCACTCAATCCATCCTCCTTCCCTCTGGATCCCACAGCAGGGCGAGATCCACACAGCCAACCGCTCCCGGTGGCAATGGAGCTCTGCTGTCTTTCTGTGCTCGGATCTATCCCTTCCTCCTCCTGGAATCAGCGACTGTACCTTCCTGCTAGGAGTCCCTTCTCTCCCCCTTCTACTCTGTACCAGAACCACTGGCAGAGTGGACCCAGACGCTGGCTCCAAAAGCAAACATCTGACCTAGGTCTAACCAATCCATACATTCCACCCCTGGAGACAGAAACAGCAAAGTGTGGTCATGGACAGACCAAGTCGTCATAAATATAGTCAAGCCAGGCGGATGAGCCGCATTCCCAGGGTAGCTTGGGTCACTGGGAAAGTAGCACTAAACATTAGGAGTGAAGTAAGCATGAAGCGGCTTGCCCGAACTTGCAGCAAACCCAGTGAGACATGGAGAGAAATACTCTCAAAGCATCTGGACCCAGACATATCTAAAACATACTCTGATCACTTGAGCCCATTATTATTTCCCCCTTATATCGATTTGAGTAGATTCTCCTATTTATAAGTGAAATAATCCTGCTTTGCACAGGGTTCAAGAAAAGTAACTAACTTGATGTTGAAGAAGCATTTCTATGGGTACATGTTCGTGCACACGAAACTCAATCTATATTCAAAAACCATTCATGGGAACTTTAGCAGGTTGATGACAAAAACGCAAGACATAATCAGGGAAGGGGACAGACATGTTCATTTGTTTTACACTTTTACCACCTGACCTAGCAGTCGGAGTTGCCAGGTCACCCTGTGACCGAGCAGCAAGGGGCTGGGAGCCCAGGGACTCACCCTCATCTGTGATGGTGCCGCTGCTGGAGCCCCCGCTGCTCTTGGACTGCCGGTGCGATGAGGAGGAGGACAGAGAGGACTCGGCGGTGTGGCCCTTGGGGGAAGGGGAGGGTGTGAGGGTAGGAGACGTGCTTTTGGAGGTAGTGGAAGCTCCAGATGGAGGCCGTTTGCTGGTCTCCAGTTTCTGCTAAAGAAAATCAGATAAATATACACACAATCACCTAGAGGGTATGAAGGGTGGGAAGAGACGGCCACATGGAAGAACATGGGTGGCATCTGATTCAACAGGCATGAAATGAACTATGAAATCTACTCATGCATGCAAAGCAGAAAAATCCACCCTGAAGCAGAGAGAATGGGAATGCTGAGAGGTACACTGAAGATCAGGAAGCCCGGGCACCAGTCCTGCCCCTATGACTTTGAGCAATAGGTACAGAATTTATATCTTAGCAATAATGAGCCTCCCATTCCTCCATTTATTTAATCTTCTATCGACCAGTGTTTGCAGCTTTCAACCTGTAGATTTTGCATGTTTATTAAATTTATCCCTAAGTATTTTTATTTTTATGTCTAAGAATTTGTATAATTTCTTACATTTCAAATATATTGTAGGACTGAGGATTTAGCTCAGCAGCATAAGTGCTGGCCTTGCAAGTACAAGGTTGTGAGTTCGATCCCTGGTTTAAAAAAAAATTCATCAAATATATCATAATCATTTTTTTGGAAAAAAAAAGGTTAACTAAAGATATTCTAACTGTTGTTCACTGCTAGTATAGAGAAACACAATTGATGTTTTTATACTGAATCTGTATCCTGAGACCCTGTTGAACTTACTTATCGGTCCTAGTTGCTTTGGTGTAGATCTTTGAAGTTTCTGTGTAAATGATCGTATTACCTAAGAGTAAGAGCAGCTTTATTTCCTCCTTTCCACTCCGTATGCCTTTATTTCTTTTCCTTGCCTATTTCAGTTTCTGACTTACGACAGCTAGAGGTCAGAGATGACAAGTGTGCTCCCGCCCTCATAGGAAAGGACGTAGGTCCTTACTATCAAGGTGATCCCACTGCCTGGGATTTTATGCCCAAGTCAAGAAGCTCCCTTCACTTCCTAGTTTGTTGATAATTCTTATCAAAAAAGGATTTTGCATTTTGTTAAAGAATCTTTCTGCAGTTTCTCCTTTAGTCTGTTAGTAGGGTGGGTGCCTTGTTTGATTTTCTAATGCCGAACCAGAGTTGCACCCCTGGGACGAGCCCCACTTCATTAAAACATATTGTTTTTCTTACTTATCATGAGATTTAGGTTGCTAAACTTTTGTAGAGGATTTGTATATTTATGTTCCTAAGGGCTACTGATTTGCTACATTCTGTCTCATTATGTCATAAAAATGCATTCTTGTTCTCAATCTTACAGGTTAAGAGGGGCATTTTCACAATACAGGGATTGTTAAAATACATTTAATCCAAATGCACAGTACTTCAAAATAAGTGAGGCAAAAGCCAGTAAATCTGAAAAGAGAAATAAACTAATACATACTTACAGTTAGAAACTTTAACAGTCCTCTTTAGTAATTTATAGAAAAAGTAGACAGAAAATCAGTAAGAATACTGACTGCCTGAATGACATGACCAGGTAACATTCACTGACATTTACAGAACCTTCCCTTTCCAACTACAATAAAATAATTTTTTTCTTAGGTTCCAGATTCACAGATGAGGGCATAAAATAGACTTCAATACACTAAGAGGAATAAGAATAGAATTATAATGGAACTGAACTAGCAATCATTAACAGAAAAGCTCTTAAATTACTGCAAAAAGAAACAATATACTTCTAAATAACAGACCAAAGAGAAAGTCTCAAAGGAAGTGAAAAAATGTTCTAACAACTGCAGGATGCAGGAAAAGCCGTCTTTAGAGGTAAATTTATAGCATTAAAATGCTGTACTAAGAAAAAAGGAAGATCTCTAAAGAGTAATAAAAGCTCCTACCATAAGAAATTAGAGAAGGTAAGACTCCAAGTAAGCGAAGGAAATTACACACAACTTCAGAAATCAATGAAATTGGCTAGATGTGACTCCTATACGCACATGCCTGTAAACCCAGCATTGGAAGCCTGAGGCAGGAGGATCACCATGAGTTCAAGGTGAGCCTGAACTGTACAAGCAGGTTCAAGGCCAGCTGCACTACACTGTGAGACTCTGTCTCAAAAAAAGCCTATAAAATTGAAAATCAAAAATACAGGGATAGGGATTTAGCTCAGTGGCATAAGCACCTGCCTTGCAAGCAGGCGATCTGAGTTCGATCCCCGGTACCGATAAAAAGGAAAAAAGACAAAAAAAAAAAAAAAAAAAAAAAAAGAAAAATCAATGAAACCAAAAATGATCCTCTGAAAACGTCAATAAACTTGATAACCTTTTAGCTAGAATGACCAAGAAAAAAAGAGATATTACAAATTACCAACGCAAGAATGAAAAAGGAGCCATTCTTACTGAACCCACACATTAAGATAATAAAGACTACTCTAGGAACTCAGAATTACAAATTCAACAACTTAGATAAAAGGCGTAATTCCTTGAATGGTAACAAAATACAAAGCTCACTCAAGAACAAACAGAATGGTTTATACAATGGAGTACTGCTCAGTCATAAAGAATGATAAATTTGACTTTTATAGGTAAATGGATGCAACTAGAGACCATACTCATATTAAAATAAATCAGGCTCGCATGTGTAAACATTGTATTGTATCCACAGTATGAGAAGCTGAAAGAATATATACATATGTATGTATATAGGTATATATAAAAGATAGTCAAGACAGTTACACTACTATTTCTATTAGTTCACTGAAAAGAAAGTTTTGTGCTAATATGGTTTGGACAATTAAATGCAGGTATCTTATACTCTGAGTAACTAATTTAAAGATAACAATATTAACCATTGTTACCCTCTAATTATTGTTTTGAAATTTTATTTTTCTCTTTAAAATTAAAAAAAAAGAAAACGAAATGAATAGCCTGAATAGTCCTGTATCTATAAAGAAAATATAAATTTTGTTAAAACTGTCCATAAAAGAAAATGGCAGGTCCAAGTGGTTTCACTGGCAAATCTTACCAAACACTTATGGAAAAAGTAATGCCCACTGTACATAATATCTTTCAGAAAAACAGGAGAGTGATTATCTTCCCGATTCACTTTATGAACTGGTGCAATTCACCTTTTCCCTTCAGTGCTTTGAAATTGCCACGGCTTTGTCTTTGTTTGTCATGGTTCTTCACAGGAAATCTGCTGTAATTCTTACTTTCTTTCTTGGCATATAATTTCTTTTTCTTTTTTTTTTCCTGGTGACTTTGAAGATTTTCTGTTGCCTCATTCTCAGTAGTTTAAACATAACGTGGCTAGGTGTGTTTTTTGTATTTTCCTATTTAGTGTTCTCTGCAATTCCTGGATCCATGGCTTTCCCATCTGTCATTAATTTGAGAAAACTCCAGCCATGATTTTTTAAAAATAGTTTTCTCTCCTTCTCCCTGTCCCCCTTTCCCCATTCCTCTCCTTCTGTTCTCTCTCTCCTTCTCTCTCTCTCGCTCCCCCTTTCCACCTCCTTCCAGGGACTCCAATTATCTATATGTCAAGCTTTATCCTCCAAGTTTTGAATGCTCTGGATTTTCTCTTCGAGCTTCTTTGTGCTTCAGCCAGGGTCTTCCTAGAGCTCTGAGCTCACCGCTTCTTTCCTTAGCTGTGTCAAGGCTGAGGAGTCTGTCAAAGGCGTTCCTCACCTCCATCACTGCTGTTTACTCCTGGCATTTCCACTGGATCCTTTCTTGCTAAAAGACTTCTCTGCTAACATAGCTAATCATACACTCTTGTGTGCTCACATTTTCCATTACAGACTTTAACATACTAGTTTCAGTTATTTTACATTCCCTGTCTGATCATTCTAATACGTGTGCCACACCCAGCCTGATTTTTCTGACTGCTTTGCTTCTCGGGAGTGTGGTTTACCTGATCTTTTTATCTTGTAATTTTTGTTAAAAATTGGAAATGTCGTATAGCATAGTAGAGACTAAGATAAACCATTTTGATGACTAGACCTAAGTCCCTCTCATTGCTTATAGCCCAGTGTAGAAAAAGTGCTTCCCTAAGGTTTTGAAAGATTTTGCTAACAAGTTCTACATCCTTAAACATTCTTCCCTTTACTTCCATATACTCTGCTATGCTACTCTGGGTGCTACCTGGCTTCAAGGATCCCAAGAGCTTAACTGGTTTCCAATCCCTGCTTTCAGGTACTTCCACAACATGTTGGCCACTCCAGCCACCAGCCAGACAAATGGAGGCTCCCCCAGATTAGAAAGTTCACCCCAACCTATACAGCTCAGGTGCACAAGCTAAAGGAGTGCCATTTGCTTGAAACCACTGAGTTTTAGGGTGGGAGAAGGAAGCTATCTCTAGTGAGCTCGGGGGACCTCTGGGGAACAGGTGCAGTGATGCGCTCCCCGACATTCTTCCTGCACCTCCAAACCTCCTGCACACTTGCAAACGCAAGGAAGCAAGTCTTGCGCACGCCACCACAGCAGCAGGTCACTTTTTAAAGGTAAAGTATGAAAACCAGGCTTCGAGGCTCATATTTTGAAGACTAATTTCTAATTCTTCCTAAGGGAGCCTTTGAAAGCACTTCCTGTCTCCATTTACTGCTGGAGCCTGTGACAGAAAGCCCACTTCTGTGTCCTTTGATTTAGAGCAGTGGTTTCTAAGAGCTCTGGGCTGGGCTGGCTGTAATAGACTCTGTGGGGAAAAATGATTCTCTGCACCCTACCCTGAGCCCTTCAGTCAGCTACACTGGGTGGAGCCCAGAAACATTATTAAACAGCTCCCAAGGTTATAGCAGATTAGTATGCTAAGAGTGTCAGGTGGTCACTAAAATGGATCATTTCCCCAGTTTATTGCTTCCAGAATGTATCTTTTAGCAGTCAATTTCCTTTCATCAGAAAATACATGCATGTAGGTTACCCATGATAGATATATCCAAGTAAGGTAACAATTAATGTTATTTAAAACTAAGATGTCTATTTCCAATACCAACCTCAGTAAAAGAAGCTAATAATATCTACCTCATCTAATAAGGTTAATAGAAACAGAACATTTTAGACAATGGAAGAAAGAAAAACTATCTCAAAAGCCCCAGGGTAGCAGACTTACGTAGTAAGTAGCAGGGAGTTTCCTAGCAGCATATACAAAAAGAGAAATACAATAGTTATATAAATTCTTACTACCTGTTAAAAGAAAATATATTACAATATCAGTTAGAGTATTTTTTTTTTTACAGCTGAATTCTAAAAGGAACTTAGGGTTAGGGTTAGGGTCCTTAACATACATAATCTTGAACATAATGGAAAATAAGCTATTGTACAAGGAGAGAGAAACATTAAGCTGAAACTGTAAAAGAAACACCTATGGCTGTCCTATCGCATAAGAACTTTGGATAAACAGAGCTGTGTAACTAACAGTGGTTGGGCAGAAAATAAAGACCGCTTCTCTGACATCCAGTGAAATACAAATCCAGGGGCTAACGCTACAGGCAGTGGCAGAATACTTGCTTGGACAAGAAGGCCCTGAGTTCCTTCCCCAGCACCACGTAAACAGAAAATCCAAAGACTCTGGAGGGGCTTGTGCAGTGGGCACAGTGCCAGGAGGACACTTTCGGTGACCTACTCTTCTCAGGAAACTCACTTAGGACACCTGGGAAGCATGCTGAAGAGTGAGGTCTCCTGGAGTCGGGGTACTCTTGGTGGAGGAAACCATCCATGCTGCCCCACCAAGCTGCAGCTGGGAGCCTCATGGTGGAGAGCTAGGAGCTGGCCTCATGGCGGTCTCTATCCGTCAGTCAGGGAGGAGGAGGAGAGCCTCAGGACACTAAAGGACTCCCAGCTAGAGGGCCATTAAGGGTTTCTCATCCATTTGCACACTCCAGACCCTGGCAATGCAGTCTATTCTCGGGTTGCATTAACAGAGACAGAGTGGCCAGCAGTGGGAGGGGAGACTCTGGCTACTTCCCTAGCTGCTTCCAGCTCCTCCCTCATGTGTGGAGCACAGGCAAGCAGTGCCCCCATCTGGGAATAATCTCAGCCATGTCCCTGCCCACCTACCCCCATCACCTGGTTCCTTGTCCACCCTCTACCCCGCCGGAATATGGTTGAGACATGAAGCATTCACAGCATCCTCTTCTGTCCACGACAGCCTTTATCAAACTGAGGTGGGACTTGCCTGTGTCCTTTGGGACCCCATGAAGGTGGTCACTAAATCTCCGCTTCATAGCCGGACCCCCACTGCAGATGCCAGGTACAGGAAAATGGTCTGGAGATGCCACAGTGGATGGGTGAGGTGGCACCAAGGGTTTCCATAGCTACCAACACTGTTGGTGCCCAGGACTCCCAGCCCCGGGCTGCATCCCCACACGGCTAGAAGAGCAATAGGAAGAGCCAACACAGAACAAGCACCTTATTGCTGGGAGTGCCACTGCCTGCAGGGGAGACCGGGAGCTCAGTTGGGCTGGACCCCGGTGCAGGGCCCACGGGACTTGACCGCTGGCTGGGCTTCTGTTCAGATAATCCTGCTGCTTTCTTCCTCTGGGCAGCGATCTGGGACAAGACACTGTCTACGCTGCCACCTAAGAAAACAGAAGCAGGAATGGTCACCATGGGCTGAGTACTTACTGTCACATGGACAGGTGACAGCTGTTGTATACTGGCTTGGCTCACAGACGCCCTGGCTTCAGCAGCTCAGGATCAGGATGACCACAGGACAGTGCTACACAAGAGCCAGAAGGTGGCCAGGGGCACTGGCCATGATGCTGCAAGGCCATCGTGGTAAGAGACTAGGAGGGAGGCAGGCAGGTAAAGTCCAGTGTGGCCTTGCTGTTCCCTGCACTGTTACAATAAATTCGTAACTCCACAATCTGCTTTCTTGACTTCATCCTGATTACCATTTCCCCTCTGTTTCCCTGCAAGTACCACCAGCCTTCAGTTATTAGGAAAGACAGGAGAAAGTGTACTACCCAGGGCTGGGTATACTCAAGGGAAGCCACTAACCGTTGCTATTTATGGAGCATTTACTATGTGCCAGGCACTGCTGCAAATACTTTACAGACATAAACAGAAAGGCTTCCAGAAGGCAAAACACATCCAAACCTCAAAAACAGAAACACATTCTGACCCTGAGTTTGGATTTTCGGGAACTTATGCTAAGGAAATCGCTGAACAAGCAGAGGTGGAAGCATGAAGGTGTCACTCGGTGGCATTCTCTACAGGGCCGAGGACCTAGGAACAGTAAGCAGGGACTGGCCACACACACGGCGATGCCTCCCAGGAGCAGGATACTATTCCATTACCAATCAGCTGCAGTAGATGTGGATATCAGCACAGGAAGGTGCTTACAGCCCTGCAGTGCATGGAAAAAGAAAAAAACGAGCTCACAGAGCCATCTACAGCTCACTAAGGTGTGTGGCCATGAGATGGGGTCCTGCAGTCAGGGTGCCTGGGTTCAGGCCCTGGCCCCACAACTGAAAAGCTTGTGTGACCTGGGGTGAGTTATTGGACTGTCCTGAGCTCCAGTTTCCTTGTTTGTAAAATGAAGGTGATAACCCCTCAGGTTGTCAGGAGCCTGACACAGACTGTTTCTTCAAATGGCTTGGCAACGTGCCTGGCATAGTGTGCAATAATTAGTATTCTTTTATAAATATTCAGAGTACGTATCAGATTAGTTTGCGAGGGCCAGGGATAGAGGTCAGTGGCAGAGCACCCGCCTGGCAAATGCAAGGTTGTGAGTTCGATCCTTGATACCAAAAAATAAAAATAAAAATAAAATAAAGTAAGAATAGTTTGCATGGACATGTACTAAAATGTTAATGCTGGTCCCAGAAAGTGCAGCTTTTAGGGGCTGGGGATTTAGCTCAATGGCATAAGCGCCTGCCTTGCAAGCGTGTGGTCGTGAGTTCGATCCCTGGTACCGGTAAAAATACAAAAATACAAAAAAAAAAAAAAGAAAGAAAGAAAGTGCAGCTTTTTAGGTTTGGAGTTTATCTGGTCTCAAAGCTTTCTCACCAGAATCATGCAACCTTATGCAAGGGCACGATGCAGGGGCCTTCCCGCAAAGCTTATCCTAGGTGCCCTTGGGAGAATTAAAAAGTCTGCTGTGAGCCCAGAAGAACTGCAGGGACTCTCATTTGAGGCTAATTTGTCACCAACTTGCTTGTGACAATGAGCTGCAGTTTCCTCATCTCGTCAGTGAGAGCACAGGATGGAAAGAAACTCTCTAAGTCTTAGCCTTCAAGGATTCAAAGCACCACAAAAACACCCTGCATTTCTAACTTCTTATAAAACTCTACAAGGAAAAAAGCATTCTGACTCCATTTCTCCCTCTGCATCTACTCTTACCCCAAAGAAAAGGAATAAAACAATGAATTGTTAATTCACTGAAAACCTCTCAGCCACATCACACAGAAACTTACGTGCAAGTGCCACTGTTGGGCTGTGTGCAGCCTGGATGGAGGGACAGCTGGCACCCGCAGCCTGAGCGTCACCCTCTTCCCCCGAAACTCCGCCCCTACACACCTGAGCGGTTGTGAAGCTCTGCTCCAGGTCTGCTCACACCTCCTATTGCACTGGAGCTGCCCGAAGAATGAGGCGAGTGGTTGAAGTTTCCAGAATTGGCGGGAGAGGCTGGGCTTCGGGACAGACTGGGAAATTTCACCGGCCTGACCGGGGCCTGCAAGAACGAGGTGGTGCGGTGGTGAGGGCGTGCCATTCCTGCCAGCAGATGCGCAGAGCCAGCACTAGCCCAGCACCCCCTTGCCAACCTGGGCTCAGCCTGCTGGGCATACCCTAAGGCATGGGGCTTGCGTCTGTCTTTTAAAGAATGTGTTCCAGAAAGAGCATTAGCTCAGGCTGGAGCCCCACTGATCGCCCTGCCTTCAGCCTTGCTGAAATCTTCTAGGCCGAGAAGCATACCTGGCCATGTCACTCACTGGAAAGCCCCAGAAGGCCCAGTCATCAGGACAGAATCATCTCCTGAGCAAAGCCTGTCTTGATGACCACCTCCCCGCGCTGAGCTTTCCTCTCTCATGTTGGCCCTGCTGGTCTAGTTATGTCTCCTCTCATCGCATCCCACATCCCACAGCCCCGCTCCAACATCACGCTCTCAGAAAGTATTTTTGACCCCTTGATCCCCAGTGTAGTGCGCCTGGTCACCTTCCTCCCTGACCTCTCCAGGTGCACTTACTCTACTCCTATCCCACAAACACCCCTGGATTGCTGGCCAGGCCCTTTTGAGCCCCCGGCCCTTTGCCCAGGTATTGGTTCTGTACCAACAGCTTTGGCCCTAGTCCTTTAACCTCAGGTATCAATGGCCTGCCCTGCTGAGGTGGTCCACGCTGCCCTACCTCTCCCACTCATTGCTCTCCTCTTCCAGCCCTCTGGTCATTTCCAGGGTGAGAATGGCCCTCTCACAGCTTCTGAGTACACGTCTGCTGTGTCCCCTGTGGATCTCATCCTTTGAGCTTCCCAGGGACTTTGCTCTCCACTGTGTTCCCAGTATCTAGCTCTGGATACTGAGAATACAGAAGGATGACTGATGGATAGAGTGGGCTAAAGGTGATCTCCAAAGAGATGTCCCACGTCCCACTGTCCAGAACCTCCGAAGAGTCACCTTGTAAGGCACGAGTGTAAAGCATCACCTTACAAACGCACATCTTAGATGGGCTTCCGTTTCCAGGAGTGGAGCTTATCCTGGATGGCCCGGGTGACCCTCAAAGCAACTGTAAATCTTCTAAGACAGTGGGGAGAAGGAATTCTGGTAGAAGAGGAGGTTCTATCACCACAGAGCAAGAGATAGGCGAGATGGGGTCACAATCCAGGAAATACCTGGGGCCTGCGAAGCTGGAGCAGAGAGAGACAGAGAACAAGCTCCTGAGGACCTTGCTTCCAGGCTCAGGGCTCCAGAATGGACAGAGTGTGTTTCTGCTGTTTTAAGGTTCCTGGCTTGAGGAGATTTGTCACAGCAGCCACAGACAGCTCCACCCTGGCCACCTGAGGAAGGGCTGTAGCAGAAGACAGCACGCTCCTGCCACGGCCTCACACCCAGGGTCTCTGCTCTGCAGAGGCGAGAAAACCCTGCAGGCAGACAATCCTGGCTCCAATGGCCCACATCCTGGGGGCCTCCCTGAGAGCCCCTGCACACACATTTTGTCACTCTGACTTCCCAGACACGCCTCATCCAGTACCCTGCCTCGTGCTGTCTTTGCTACCCTGCCCGGAGCCTCCTAAGGCAGGACCAGACTGCCCACACTCCATGGTGCTGAGTAAATGAAGCAGGTGACCCTGGTGATCTCTCTGGGGTTGCTGGCATTCTCAAGGGTCCTGGGAAGAACTCTCAGGGACAGTTCTACAACTCCCCCAACATCCCCAGCTGACCTAGAACAGCAGACTGAAGGCAACCTGTCCTGAAACTTGCCGGCATCTCCAGATGCGGGCTCTCGGGTCTCCCACTGGTGATTTGATGTGCTAAAAGCTCTGGGGCAAGGGAGCAGTGAGCACAGGGGCTCAGGCCCAAAAACCAGAGTCGGAGGCCTTGTTTCCCCAACAGAGTTCACAGCCACAAGGGCGGCACAGACAGAGTTGCATGCAAGAGATGTCTCCCACCCTGACAGGAAGTGCCCAGCCCAGGACACTACAGAAGTGTGGGCAGAAGACTCTTTGCCTTGAGAAAGCACCAGCAGAGCAGCCTCTAGGAGCTGGCGCTCGTGCACAGCCCTGAGTGATGCTATAGCACAGGGATTGATCAGAAGCCAACAGCCTGACTTCTGGTCCCAGACCCACTTCCATCTGGATGGAGATCACTTCCCCTGTCTAGGTCCCAGTTCCTCATCTACTGACAGAAGGTTAGATAAGATAAATCTGGTCTCCAAATTTTGTTTCCCAGAGCCCCAGGGCTCTAGAGAGGCAGTAGATGCTCCTCAAAGGGTCATTCTAATCTCTCAGATTTACTTAATTCCTTCTCACAAGGATCTCACTCACTTAAAAAACGAACACATAAAAAGCTCTGCCCCCGGTATTAGTTGGTGTGAGGTCCTCTGCCTGCACTGCACCCCATCTGAGTGAGCGAGGCCGGATGACTTACAGTGTCTGTGCCCCCGCTACCCACAGGGTGGCCCCTGCTGGCTCTCTGGGGCAGCACGGTCTTCATGGGTTCCGCCTTCCCATCCTGACAGGTCCTGGACCGATCAGAGCTCCACAGCTCAAAGCTGGAGGGGGGTAGGAAAGGGGGGATGACTGCCTTCAGCTTGTCACTCGGGAGCCGGGTAAAGGGGGCTCCATTTCGAAGCTGAAAAAGATGAGCCAAGGGTTAGGTAAGCTCAGGAGGGCTCTGGCTCTGGTGAAGAGGCCTCCAGGCGCCCCTTGCTCCTCACGGAGCTGGTGTACCGTCCATCCATCCTGCCACCCAATCCAGGAACCCAGGTGGGTCCCCAGCCTTTCTCCCAGCAGCCCTGCAACACCCACACCTGTGCTATAAAGATGAGAATGAAGTGGGTAGTGGGCCCCGGGACTGAGGAGGTGTGAGAGATACCAGTGAGGGGGCATGGTCCATCTGTAATAAGGGGATGCAGGAGGGGTGGGGATGGGACAGACAGACCCCAAAGGACAATGCAGCAGCGAGAGCATGCCAGACACACAGGCTGTGCAAAGGCTGAGGCCCATGTGAGCCACTGAGGGTGCAGAGTGGCCAGGTGTGGAGAAGAGGGGCAGGGAATGCGGGTGGGAAGCTCAGCTCCCTCCTTGCCCTGATCCTTCTAGCCAGGCCTCCCACGGCTGGTATTTTCAGCAACAATGAATTTGTTACATTTTGAACCTGTGATAGGGTGGGGTGGTCAGCAAAAAAATCCACCTAGCTATAACTGTGGGATTGTCAAGGAGGCGCACTCACACGGTCCACGCTCACTTTAATTAAGAAGACAGCGAACTGGGTGCCAGATGGTGCTTTGTGGGGATGGGCATCCCACAGCTAAACCCGCCTCAGGAGCTGGGCAGGCATCTCTGCACCAATGACTTCAAACGCCCACTCGGCATCCACAGAGCCACAGGGCATCTATGCCTGCTAGGGACAGTGAGCGGGTTCAGCGGTGCCTGCACAGGGCATGAGCAGTGGGCATGGGAGAGGCCCAGGGCAGGATGGGTTCCCACACCACCGTGCTGTCTCAGTCTGTGCACAAGCGCTTTCCCTGCCAGACTCCACAATCCCATCCAGCCAGAGAGGGGCTGGGCTGGACACAAAGAGCCGCAAAGTCACCTCTGATGGGCACTTCAGCCTCTGGGTCACGAGCCTGAGATGCCACCTTTCTGGAAAGCAATGACATTCATAACCTTTGCCCAAGAGTTCCTCTTCTAGATATTTACCCTGAGAAACAAATAGGAAATGGGCAAAATGGTGGTAGAAGGTCACTCAGCAGAGCTGCTGAAATAGTGAGAAATTGGAAACCCCGAAGGCCAACAGGTCAGTCTGCGACAAAACCCTCTTAAGATGCGAAGTCCTATCACACAGTCATCAAACATGGCGTGGCCAAAGGGTGTCCAACGACATGGAGAGGTTGTCCATGGCAAGTTGTTAATAAACGGAGTGGAACACAACCTAGAGAAGGGTCACGCTGTCAGCCTCACGTGGCTCTGGGGGGGATTAGATGGCACATGAAGTGCCACGAACAGTGCTGGTATTTAGTCAGAGTAGTGGTATGTGCTATTATTATATACATACCACATAGTATCACATTCACAGATGCTAAGAAATGCTTAGGAGAAATAGTCAAAAGATAGACACCATAAAATGCCAACCATGATTCTGTCTGGGTCTGTAGCAAGGGGGATTTTATTTTTCTTCTTGATATTCTACTGCACCTTTCAAAATGCCTATAACAGCATTTATGGCTTCCTACTGAAAGTAATTATTGCAATTTAATATCATGATCAAATGTTAGGCAGCTTACACTCTCAGATCAGGTAGGGCCACAATTTACACCTGCTGGCAGAGCAGCGGATCAGGGACAGGGGTCAGGGACACTGGTCGGTCCTGCAGTTTCTGGTGCTGCCTATACCGGCAGGTGAACAGCTGTGTCACTGTCCTTGCCAATACTGCCCTCTGCTGGCCAAAATTACGGTTTCAGTTGCTAAAGGGTCTTGAGGGGCCAAGATATATATAGCTCAGTAACACAGCACCTGCTTGGCAAGCGCCAGGTCATTGAGTTTAATCCAGTACAAAAAAAAAAAAATTAAAAATTTTTAAAAAGCACTTGAACCATAAGGTTACTCTCTCATTCACAGAACACAAAGACCAGAAAACTGAGGTCACATATCCAAGGTTACATGGCAGAACTTATTCTGGGCCAAGCACTATGCTCTTCTGGAGGTGATTTTGTTTAAAAACCCCAACCACGAGGGCTATTATTTATACATCAGAGACCACAGTCCACTAGGCAGTCAGTCAGAGAATGCAGTCCACCTGTATCCACCTGACACGGTTTCCTTAGCAACGACACCCCAACATTTACAGAGATACAAAATGGACCATCCAGAACCAAGACTTCACTGCCAAGCTTCCCTTGCAGGGGGGAACTAAATTCTAAATTCTACCCAACGATGGAACTAAATTCTACCCAACATGATATTTAAAAAAAAAAGACCAATGCGTGCAAATTTCTAGGAAGCTTCTTTAAAGACGGCTGGCATCTATCTATGGCCACTTTTTTTCCCTTCCTCTTTCCTGCTGGCTGGAATGAGGTAGTCATGACCGGAGCTCTGGCAGTCATCTTGGACTGAGAGGTGACCTTGGGACTAAAGGGCACACACGGTGAACCAACAGGTAGAAAAATTTAGTTCTCAGTCCAGAACTTAACGTACTTCAGAGAAAGTTACTGCATTATTTATGCCACTGTTATCTGGGGACTTCTACAGCTGAACTGAATGAATCCTGATTCACCGCTAGTTTATGGATTAGAGGTCTCTCCTTCAGTGGAAAGGTTCTCTCCTCTCCCAACTCACCATAACCACAGTTGTACATCTTTGCATCTAATGTCTCTCACCAATTCCTACCCTCAGTCCTCCACCTCAGAACAGAACTTACATCTGGCCACCAAACACAGCACAGCCTTACCTATGGGTCAGGGCTGGCATCTTGTCTAATCCTCAGGAACCAGAACTGGACCCACTGTTACACAACTTGATCATTAACCACATCTGTGACGTCCACGAAGACAGACAAAACACCCATACCCCTCCTCAAAAATCAATTAAACATTGATTGGCAGAGATCTAAAACGCTTTTAGGAAAGCCCACACTCACCATGGTTGTCAATAAGGCATCTTCCTTTTCTCCTCTCGTGCTCCCAGGACCTGAGAGACAAACGGAAGATTCCTGAAATGACCCTCCCCTGTGGCCATGGCACGAGATGAGTGATGGGGCGGCCTTCGTCCTGGAAAGCTAACTCTCCTAGGTGATTAAATATTTAATAATCATTGGTGTTCAATATCTCAACAGAAAGAAAGCATTTAAAGGATATCTCAGAGCATGTTTGCTGCTTTTCTGTAAACCACTGCTGTGCTTGGCCAGACAAGCAAGCGCCCGGCTCAATAGTCTGTCTCAGACAGTGGAGCCAAAGGAGCTGGTCCGGGGATGGGAAATCTGACTGCTCCAGGGATCTCTGCTGATCAGTTTTCCCAAAAGTATGGAAATCTCCTGCAGTAACCCAGCAAAATCATCCAATCTGTTGAACACTCCTAGGAGCAGGGATCTCACTACCTCCGATCAACAGGTAATGTATTTCAGGGTAGTTTCAGTAGCACAAACCAATCATGTTTGAGAGGTGGGGAAAACCAACCCCCCAAAACAAGGGAGAAGCACTTTAGCTGTGATCCTTTAGCAGGAAGTGTGGGGCAGGGACCTGGGACATCTGTCCCTGGCTGGTATTGCCCACGTCCCTTCTCCCCCAGCCCGTCACTCCGCTCCAGTATAGCACTTCAACATCATCTCATCCCCAGTGACAGATCAAGAAGTAGCAGGTGGGGTCAGACCATGCTGAAACTCCAGGCCACCTGCAGCCTTTTCTTACCATTGTCTTTGATCATGAAGGCCACGCTTGGGAGCCCAGGGAAGCCTGGCTTGTCCTGGGGGGTGGCCCTCATTGTAGAGTCCAGTGCTGGCTCAGGCTCGTCGGCGAAAGGTAAGGGCTGATTGCTGGACAGTCCTCGGGGCAGTGTCTGCATCAGTTTGAGCTTGCGGAACCGATTGGACATCCGGTTCCACCAGGACTGTGGGAAAGGCAGAGCAGAGATCACGCAGGGAGAGTGGCTCAGGGACGGTGACCACACTCCATGCACGTTTCCCCTGCTCGCCTGGCCTCGAGGAAGGCATTTGCCATGGACAGTACAGCACCCCTTTCAACAAGCTGCAGCCACTTCCAGGAAGAAACTGAAGGGGTCTGGGGACTGTGGGGGGACCCTGAGTTTACAAATATCCAACACGGTAAAGCAGAGGCCAAAATTGACACCTTGTGGAAGGTGCAACTCAGCCAGCTCCAGACAACATTGCACAGCAAAAAACCAACAACAAAAATTCTATCTATAAATTGAGACTCCATAGCAAAATCAGGACTTTCCAGTTTCTCGTGGAAGTCTCGTAACATGGAACCACACTCTTGCAAAGCATCTAGTGGTGCCCCAGGATGGTTCTGATCACCTCACTTTTCCCTGACCCCCCATTGTTTCCTACTGCTCACCCCTAGCTTACCTGCAGCCTTCCTGGGACCCTCAGCTAAACCAGCCTTGTCAGGCTCCCCACCGCATGCTACCGCCCTCACCCCCTAAACCCTTCAGGACAGGGAGAGGCAAACCTTCAGGCCGCCCTTGTCATCGGGCAGCACTGGGATGCTCCATGGCTCTCTGACCTTCGAGTGGGGCAGGGGCGGCGGGTGGCTCGGCCGACCCCTGTCCTTATTCACCTGCATGCAGACAGACGCCAGCAGCCGGACTAGTTCCGTGTCTGTGGACACAAAAGGTAGTGTTTCACCTGCAAGTACCTCTGTTGGATGTGGAGAGTGGGACCCGAGAAGCCTGCATCAGTCTAAGAAACCAAACCCAACGCACCTGAGAAAGCTCAACTCCAGCACCACAAGCTCAACTCCTCTGGCATACAGAAGCCCCAGGGCTTAATCTACTTCACTAGGAAGAAATATCAGAAACCCTTCTCCCACTTCGAAGGCAGAGCATAGAGCAGCAGAGAGCCCAGCCAGACAGGAGGTTCCTATTCGGCCTCTGCACCGTGCTGGCCACGTAAGCACAGGGAAATTATTCAGCTGTTGCAGCTTAATTTACAAGGAGGTGACATTAACACCCACCACCTAAACGCGCTTCAAGGGTTCAAGGCAATTCCTTTTGAGCACTTAAAGCACCTGGTGCGTCTAAAAGCTTAAGAGAGGTTAAGCACTATTAGTTATTATTAACTCAACTAGGTTATTAAGAAAAAAGCATTAAACAAGATTGTGAAGGAAATATTTGGGGGCTGTAGGTGTAGCTCAGAGGTGGTGAATTTGCCTGGCATGTGCAAGCCTTCAGTTTGATCCCTGGCACACAAATGAAAGAAACAAAGACAAAGAGAGAGAAAAGAAAGGAAAAGAGGGAGAAAGAAAAAAGAAAGACAGACTCAGCCCTTGGGGGCTGGTGGATGTATCCATGTGCTTCAAGAATTCAACAGACCAACTCCACCCAGAAAGATGCTCCCTGCTCTGGCTCCTTTCGCACCTTACTGTATAAACCTGCTCGTCTACCTGTATCCTTCATGACTTTCAGAATAAACCAACAGATGATGATGAAGGTGGAGCTGGTGGAGGAAGAGAAGGAGAAAGAGGAAAAAGGAGGAGGAGGAAGAGAGGTTCTCAACTATTAACAACACTTGTTTCTCCTGATGACTGGCACTCTGTGCATCAGCAGTGCTTTGTTTAAATTGAGAAGCCCCCGACAGCTTCATGTGCTCACGGGCAAGGTGGTAGCGGAAGGTGGTGGACTGTGGAGCAGTATAGCTGACCCACTGTTAGGAGGTGAGGTTTGGTCAGGGGAGGCAGTCACAGGGGCACAGCCTGGAAATATTATCCTTCTCTCCTGGCTCCTCCTCCGACTCTGCTTCCCTGCCAGCAAGACACAAGCAGCTCTCCCCCACCAAGCCCCTCTGCACAGCTGTCTTAGAGCCTACCAACTGTGAACTGAAACCTGAGCACTCTCCTCTCTAAGAGGTGGGTACTCAGTATTTTGTTCCAGGAATGAGGAAAGTGACCAAGACAAGTAGTAATGTGTCCTGGAAAATCTTAGACAAAAACTTCATTTACAAAACCCAGCCAGGAAAATATAAAATCTAGGGCCCCCCACAGCCCAAAGCCATGGCGTTCTTTCATTGGAAAGGAGAGGGGAGGCAAGAAGAAAAGGCGATTAGAAGACAGAAGTTGTCTGGGCGTATGTGAAGTCTGAACTGGTCTGGGAGGAGGGGCTCCTTGGATTTGGGGCAGAGAACCTGTGCTTCCCCAGGCCAGATCACCCCCATCCTGGGCCTGGCTGCCAGATCTCTATGATGTGAAACTCAGCTTTTCCTACGCCTCTCTGAGGACTAAATGGAACCATCTGTGCCTCTGCTGATTGTGGTGCCTGCAGAAGAGGCCAGGGAGAGAACAGTGCTGGTGACCAGGGAGGGCACCCCTGTCTGTCACCCCCTCAGCTAAGAGCACAGCAGACAGAACCCCACTATGGACTAAGGAGGCAAAGGCTTCTCTGTCCCCACAGCTGGCAGTTGGGGTCTTGGCACAGGGAGTCCCAGTCCTGAGACTCAGAAGGGCTTCTGAGCTTCTCTGCCTCTGGACTGAAACTCCAGGATAATAAAAAGGTGACGTATGGGAAACCGTGACCCCAACTTTCCCCAGAGTTCCTGGAAGCACAGATACCACCCTAAGACTTGAGGACTGCAAAGCAGGCACGTCCTTGTTTGCCCTGCCTCCTTGGAGATCATGGAAAAAGCTCAGGAGCTACAGGAAGGGAAATGCCTTGGCCCCTGGACACTAGAGGCTGTTCTCCCCATGCATAAACAAAGCTCCAGTCAAGGCTCACAGAGGCAGTGGCTATCCGACTCCCAGGGAAGAGTGACTGTGCAGATTCACAGCCCTGTGCATGAAGTAACCCACCAGGATCGTTCAGCAGCATCACTAGATCAAAGGCTGTGTACCCGTTTTTCGCACGAAGAGTGACGTCAGCCCCTTGGTTTAGCAGAAACTTGACAATTTCCTTATTCCTACAGAGCACAGAAAAAGTCAGTTACGCTCACTGCTACAGTCTGGATACTGACTCCAAAAATGTAGCTACCGTGGTGGTACTGAGAAGGTGCTACGGACCTTTAAAAGATGAGGTCCAAAAGTCTCTAGGGGATCCCAGCCACTTGCTCTTTGCTTCCTGACAGAGAGATGTGACTACCTGGTCATACACATGTTCTCCACCAGTAGCTCTGGTAACCTTACCAGAGGCCCAAAGCCATGAGGCTGCCTAATTTAGGACTGGAACCTTCAGAACTATGAGCAAAAATAAACTTTTCTCTTAGTTACCTGCCTCAGGTATTTTCTCATAGTAATACAACACTAACTAATACACCTGCCATTACAAACTGTGGCTTTGCTCCTGGGTAACAAGGCAGACAGCATTAAAACAGCCCTCAGTCTCTGTGCATTTAAGAGTTCATGGGTAACTGCAGTCTCGTATTCATCATTCCTCACCACCAGCAGGTCAGATGCCAACAGGATTTACAGTCTTAGGCTTTCTTTGGTCAAAATGAAAACTAGGGCTCTGCCCAAGAAACACCCAGCAGCCAACCCCACTCTTCCCATCCACTGTGAAAGGCTGGAATCACATAGGCCAAGAGATTTGACAGGGAGGTTTGAGACATTAAATAAGAAAACTAACTGCTTCCAGAAGAAACAGAGCTGATTAGGGTGAGGGAAGAGCCCCTAACTAGAGTCAGACCATTCAGAAGTTCTAAGAGGTGACAGCCCCTCCCCTAGGCTGAGAAGGGACTGATAAGCCCCTTGCAGGGGCTGAACCTCCTGAGGACATCAGGAAAAGCCCAGAATGCAGGACCAACATTCACTTCTCACAGAAGGGCTCCGGAAGCATCTGAACCAATCACATCGTTCAGCTAGAGCCAACCACAGACACTTTGCTCTGCCTAAGAGCTTCCTGCTGCATGGTGCTTCCCAGGCCCTGTGAATTTCACCCTGGCTACAGAAGACTGGGACACAGGACAAAGTGGGCCTGTGCTGCCACACCTCAGTGTCTCTGCAGCCCTGGGGTTCTCTGGTGTCTTGGGATCCGAAACTCTCACTGGGAGCTCCCTGCTGAGCCTGCTCACAGAGGGAGCGCAGTTGGCACTGACCCATGGTAGGTGGCCTGCATGAGGGCTGTCCAGCCGTGCACGCTGTCCTGCTTGTCCATGTCAGCGTGCCTCTCCACCAGCAGCTGCACCAGTGGTAGCTGCCCCGTGACAGCTGCCAGCATCAGCGGCGTCGCCCCATCCCCATTGACCAGGTTCACGTGGCTGGGGTCTTCATCCGTGATCTCTTTGACCAGCTGGAAGTCTCCTGCACACACAAGCAGGGGTCTCAGGAACCCGTGGTGCAGAATTCACGGGCCCATTTGTCCCACTGACTCACGGAAGACATTGGTGACTGTGTCTCTATAGTGAGCCTCAGGAGGGCCAGAGAGAGGCTCCACCCTCACATCCCTCTGTCTAAGGGAGATGAGGACACGCCCGAGCACGGACAGAAGGGCTGCTGATGCCTCAGGAGGACAGGTGAAAGAAATGACTGGCATGCAGAAGGGGAGAGGTTGTGTCCTACTGAGGTGAGGATCAGGGAGGGCTTCCTGGAGGAGGGGTCTACATAAAGAGAGGAAATGTTAGGCTGAACAGCCTGTAGCCATCCAGAGACTGGAATGGATAGGTGTGCAGAAAGGAGTTTCAGAGGCAGGAAGACGCAAGGAGACAGCTTGGCAACTGGCTGGCAGGGGGGCAGCGCTTGGGAGGGCAGCCAGGATCTGTGCACTGAGCCCCGTAACAGATGTGGGCCTCCGTGAGCTGGACCTCCCGGGGAGAGCTGTGAGTTAGGAACAACAAAGCGCCTGTTTCTTTCTCAAATACTCTGGGTGGGCTTGAAGAGGACAACAAATACTAGACAGGGAGTGTGTGGTCCTGTGCACTTCAATCCAGAAAGGCTTTCCAACGTGCTTACCTATTTTCAGTGCATGGAAAATATCTGGGCGCCTTTTCTCCTCATCTGGGTAGACAAAGATTTGAAAAGTTAGCCACAGAAAGGTTTCATCAACAGCAAAGTCACAGCAAAGTCACCCAGTCTAGCTCTGAAAAGGCTATACTTCTCAGGAGCAATCTGGAGAGCCAATCCCACAGCCTTGTGGAAGGAAGGTTATTACCACAGAGTTGTGAAAACACCTCCAAGACAGGACAAAGCTGCTATGAGGCCACTGTTCACACTAATGAAGCCATTGTTCTGAGGCATTCAAAGGTGTCCTTAGTACAAAAAAAAAAGTGTGGTCTTGGGAAAATCTAATCCCTGTAGGAAGTTTATAAAGAAACAACAATTGTTTTCTTCTAAGTAGTAAGTACTCAACCATACCCCAAGGCAGGGGGCCTGGGCCCTGAGCAGTTGGTACAATGCTCAGTCACAGCCACCAGAAGCGACAGTGTTCACGCTACCTCGACTCCCAAGTATGAAACAATGCCAGCGCACACAGCTGGACTCTTCCAGGGGCCCCACTCCATCCTGGAACTGCCACCCCCTGGGACCACCATGCTAGCCCATCCCTTCTGCTCACACATGGCCAGTCTGCCTGTGGCAGGTGATACTCCTGCAGGTTCCTGGTCCAGGCACGGACTGCTGCAAGAGGACACATGTGCCTCCTGCTGACTCGAGTGTGGACGGGCCCTCTCGGGCAACTGGGTGTGTGGGGCACCAAGGCTGCAGCAAGCACATGTGAGCATGGCTGCGTGTCTCTAGAAGAGCTAGTAGTAAGCATCGGTGACATGGGACAATCTTCATGTCACCAGGTTGCGGCAGGGATCAGCTGCTGATGTAGGTGGGAAAATGGTTCAGAAACATGAAAGCCCTGTTTAGAGATGACTGCTATGTGAACCTGCCACCAGCAACCACATTAGTATGGTTAACTCTTTAACTGCTTAACTCCAGAATTTCTTTGATTTTAGTAGTAGCAATTGAACCCAAGGCCTCGTGCATGCTACACAAGCACTCTGCCACTGAGCTACATCTGCAGTCTTTTCAAAAAACATTTTTTATACAGAATATCAAAGGTTGGGCTTGAGTTGAACTCGAAATTTTCCTGCCTCAGCCTCCTGAGTAGTTGGGATTATGCCCAGCTTAAGCCCAGAATTCTTAATGGCAAGTATGGCCTTGGTCACAGTTACCAAGTTTTAAATTTTGCCTGTGAAATACTATCAAGGAACAATGTTGCATCATAGTTCTTTAAAATACAGCAAGTGCCCTTAAGCATTATGCATCCAACTCACTCTAGGCCAGGGCTTGTCATGCCAAGACACCGTGACAAAAGAGAGTGTGGCAGCTGGTCTTAGTGCCAGTGTCCAGCAGCCACCTGGTATGCATTCATCGCTGACAGCCCCGCTAACCCTGGGAGCCAGGCAGCTGTGTGCTGCTGTGAGCCTGGGGCTCAGAAGAGCAGCCACAAGGACCCTGCCCCACCCTGGGAGAGGAAGCCCGCTCTGACCTCCATGCAACACCCCTGCTGTGAAGCGGATGTCAGAACACAGATGCCTCGGAGCAGGCTGTGTTCTGCTGCTGAGGCTGGGGCCAGCCATGGACTGCAGAGGTCTTGGAAGGAGCAGACATCTTGACAATTTCACAGAAAGAGCTAGAGATTGTAATTATTGTTAAATACTCTTTCTCATTATTAATAACACAGTTTCTACCCTTAGGAAGGGCATGGTATACTTCCTGCTCACCTATAAGGCTGCTGAAAGCCACCTTCTCAAGGTGGTCACCCCCTGCGTGACCTCAAAAGGCAGCCTGTATCACCCTGGCTCTACTGTACCTAATCCCTTGCCTTGCCCTCGTTTGTTTTTTTTTAACCTCGAGGCATTTCTATCGTCTGTATAATTGATTTAATGTTTATTTACTGTCTTCCTCCATGGATGCCACAGCCTCACGGGGATTTGGGTCTCACCGGTTCACTGCCGAATCGCAGGTACCTTGAATGGTGCCTGATATCCAGTAAGCACTCAACAAACACTTGATAGGCATTGTCTTACTATTCCCAAAGAAACAGTCCCAGGGAAGCATACTCCTTATGCCTATTTTATGAAAGAGAGCACTTAAGTCCTAGAGGGACAACTCACAGGGCCCGGGCTACCCAGTTAGAGAGTGGGAAAAGGGCCTAAACAGGGACACTCCACAGAGGGGGCCCACTCTTATCTCCATCCCGCCTGGTACTGGGTCACGTGTGGCTACTTTAAGGTCTCAGTGCGCATGGCGAACTACAAGCTCTGCAATGCAGTGCATCCTGGGGCCGAGTCACCAAGGGCTGCCTCAGCAGCCCTGTAAGGGCCAGAAAGACGGAAAAAGGAAAAAGGCACGGGAGACTCTAATGAGTGTTTGGAAAACGTGAACGAAAGAGGGGGCTGATTTTCACTACCTTTGTAGGACTTGGTCTTCGCTGGCAGACGAGGTTAGGCACGCCGTTCTAGGGCAGTGGTTCGCAAGCTACAGCCAGTACACTCTGCCTGCTCCCTGTCTTTGACACTATAGTTTACAGGCACACAGCCAGACTGCCTTGTGTATACAGTGTGTCGAGCTACGGTCACTCTAACAGAACTGAGCAGTTCTGACAGACTGTACAACTCACAAAACCTAAAGTTTTTATTATGTGGCCCTCTACAAAAAGTGTGCTGACCTTGGTACTGGAAGGATCTCAGAACCAGCTGGTGAGGAAGAAGGCCTGGCTAGGTTCCTACCACACTGGGTTCTCTGGAGAGCTGTACCAGATATCCCTGCGTGAAACCTCAAGCACACCAAACTCAAACTCCAGGCCAGGGGGTAAAGCCATTTCAGTATAATGTGGGGTCCTCCCTGAAGCCATGGCAGGGGGTACAGCCTGACCTGTTCTGGGCCTGACAGTGGTCAGCGGGTCCAGGTAGTCTGCAAGGTCCCTGTGCCTGCGGTCCAGGGCCACCTCGAAGGCTGTCTTCTCCAGAACACTGAGGTGGTCAGGGTTGGCTCCCTTCTCTGCCAGCTGTTGGGCCACGCCGAGCCTCCCAGCCAGCGCTGCCAACATCAGGGGGCTCCAGCCCACTGTCCGGGCTGCGTAGTTGGGGTCAGCACCCCACTCCAGCAGCAGCCGCACCACAGCCTCATGTCCATGCTGGACGGCGGCCATCAGGGCTGTGATGTCCAGCAGCTCATCTCTGCTGCCTCCCAGCCCTGGCTGCTTGCCGGAGGGGCTGTGATGGTCCACAAAGGCACCGGCTTCCAGGAGCAGCTTTACCACACCCAGGTGGCCACCCCGAGAGGCCACAGTGAGCACACTGGCCCCCAGCCGGTTGTGAGCATTGACATCAGCCCCATGGTCCAGGAGGAGGTGTGCCACGCTCACATGCCCAAACCTGGGAGGAAAATGGAGAATTAGTGACACTAAATGTGGAGCACCAAAGGGAACAGCTCATGTGGTTCTCATTTGTCAGCAACTATAAAAGGCACAGCAGCTGCATAGTCTAAGAGCCCTTGGCTGGGCGTCAGCCACTATGCTGGCTCCAGAGATGCACTATTGCCAGGTGAGTAACCGTCCTGCCCAGTTTGAACCCCAAACTAGCTGTGCAACCTTGGCAAGAATTTCAGCTTCTCTGTGCCTTCTTTCCCCCATCTTGTAAAATGGGGCTCTAATTGTATCTACTTCAAGGGCTGAGCTAAGAAAAAAAAAAAAAAAATATATATATATATACATACACACACACACACATATATATATAGATATACATATATAGATACATACATAGATCTAGAGCAGCGCTTGACAAAGGAAGGCATCATGCATACAGATGTCAGCATTTTATGCATTTTAAATCCTGCAACGTGCCAAGTTCAGCCAGCTGCTAAGGGACAGCATTCAGGTCACTACCTGGGTGACCTGTGTGAATTCTGCTGGTCTCATATTTTCCCCTGTGCTACTTGGCCTCCCCCATCTCAATTCATTTTATCCTGCTTTCGGGCCCAGGCATCTGTCGCTTTCCGTGCTCTGTCTGCCCATGGGCAAGGCTCATGTCTGATTCATTCCTGTCCTTTCCAGTTCACAGTGCTGCCTCCACATGCCAAGAGATGTGGCATGGCCCGGCTCAGCAAAGGGCCCAGGCGCCTGGCATGGAAGCCTGTTGCCACCTGGTGGCAGTAATGTTCGATGCAGGCGGTCGAGACTGGCCTGAGTCAGATTGAGCTCAAAGCAGCTAGCTAGAGCTGTGTTTGTGACGGCGCTAGGAAGAGGAGTTTCATGCCTACCAACTCCCTAACACCAGGAAGAAAACAGCCCAGCACTTGTTTAACACTAGCGGTCAAGAAAGGTCTGCTTTGTGCATTCCAGTGGTCTCTGAGTACATTAGAGCTGCCACAAGAGGCTTGAGACCAACCAGGAAAGGAAGTCTGAAGGGGCCAACTATGCCAGGCTTGGGGCCACAGTGAGCTGTCACATCTGCATCTGTGAGGCCACTTTCTAGTTTGCTGCTGAGCCCCTCCTTTCTGGGACGAGGTGTGCCCCATCTAAACCAGGCCTCCCTCCTGCCTACACAGGCAGAGCCAGGGCTGCACTCTGGCCAAAGCTCCCCCTGCACTTACAAATACTTTCTAGGAAGTGAACCTTAACAGCGCAGGGTCAGCTCAGCCCGAACAAAAGGAGGAGAGCTGCAGCCTGGGTTTCTCTTCCCTGAGCAGAGTCACCTGAAATACACTCAAATGCAGAAGGCTGTGTGACCCCAGAGTCGCTCTGTCCTCGACATAGTCCCCCAAACCTGAGGATCACCCTCCAGATTTCCACTGCCCAAAGAGGCTGCCTACTTTGCTGACCTCTTTTCCTGGCACCTCTTGCCAGCTCTCTCCCCACTCACACTCACCTGTTATAAATCTCACCCTCTCCTGCCACCTCACCCCCTCCCCTCTGTACCCCAGGAGCACACTCTGTCTTGCTCAGGATTCAGCTCAGAGCTCCTCTGTACAAGTCCAGGCCAAACCTCCACAGCCCAGGTCAGGTGCCCCTCTTCCGAGCACCCACGGTTGTGTATCCTTGCCCCCCACGATATCTAAGTCCTCCTTTGAGAACTGTCTCCCGCATTTGCCTGTGGGTTTGCAAACTGGCTTCCATGTATTCTTACTTCCCCAGTCCTTAACACAGGAGCAGATCCATACTGGAGCTCAGTACCTTTGACAAAGGAACAGGTAAATGAATGCATAAATACAGTGACTAAGGAGGGGCAGGGCCAGGCAGTAGAAATAACTGAAGAACCACTGTAAATGATTACTCTGTTAGTTATCAAGCATAAGATAAAATCTAGCATAATATCTAGCAGATTACATAGGTGCTTTCTGATTTTTACCTCATTTGATCTTAGTAAACCTCAAGATAAACTCATCACCTCCCACCCCACCAATAAGGAAACCACAAATTAGAGTGGAAATTGGTTAATCTCGATTTAAAAGTGACAGAGTCAAAACTGGGCCCTAAAATTGCAAATCTCGGCTCTTTCCATGTACCCAGTATGAGGGAGAAAAGGGCTGAATTCGAGCAGAAATACTGAAATTTGGAATGTTTTCTGAACTCTCAGGTAGCCCCAGAGAGCATTCAATTAGGCTGAAAATATAAAAGGATTCAGTGGAGGCTGAGATAATTTTTCAAATGCTAAGTTCCTAACAGATAATTATTGGAGATGTGGATGCCAGGGGCTTTCTGAGCAGGTGCTATGATTACCAATTAACTTCAGCAATTAACACGTGTGTTTGAAGAGCTGGCACATGCTCCTGCCACTCTGAGTACAGGGCTGAGGGTTCAGCTCTACCACCCTGGCAGGCAAGAGAACGCTGGGAACTTGAAGAGTAAACACTGTACTCTACTGTCCCGTGACAGAAGAGGCAGTTGTTTTTTGTTTTTTGTTTTTAAGTCAGTGTCTCATTGTATAGTTCACACTGTTCCTGAACTCACTATGTAGCTCAGGCTGGCCTCGAACTCATGATAATCCTCCTGCCTCAGCCTCCTGAGTGCCAGGATTATAGGCATGTGCCACCACGCCTAGCACTTGCAGTTAAATTTCTTGCCAAAAGTTCTACATGGACTGAATGAGCTAATTCATTTAAAGCACTAAGTACAATACTTGACACAAAGTGCTTGATAAAGGTTACCTATACTTTTCTAAATAGGAAAAACCATTAATCTAACTATTTCTGATATTAAAATTTGTACGAGGCCAAAGTCACCAAGTCCAGACTCAGAGCCTCTGAGGGTGGTCCAGGCCGGTGATGAGCTGTGGATAGACAGATGCTCACTTGGGCTCAAAGTGCTGGCTGCCAGCATACCACCTGAGGAGGATTCTGCAGCACATCTAAACTCAGGGAAAAAGAGCGCAAGACTGAACAGTGTCCGTGTGCCTGCCACCATGACCTGAGGGGCAGACAGACAGACCAACATCCTTCTAGCAAGTCACCCACTTATTACTCCTCCACGCTAACCTTTTCTGTGGACTGAGGAGCAGCAATCTTGCACACTACTCGGGCAGACACATGGCCCTGAGTAGACAGCTGGGATCAACAACTTAGGGACAATAAACTGTACAGTGCCCAGGCCTTGTCTAGGCCCTAAGAGTAGGCAAGAGTGAGTTCACAAGAGGGCACTCCAGGAATAGAATGAAAATCTTAAAGCAGGTGAGAGTTTTAGCACACTAATAATATTCCCAAAAGAGAACCTGAAAGGTAAATCAAGTAATGAAGAGAAATACCAAAGTCTCTCCATTTGGAAGTGACAAACACAGGACACTTGGGCCGCAACTCCCAGCTTCTTTTTCAACACCAAATTTTACAGAAGAAAGTAAGTCCTCTAAAAATGGTAATTACTTAACCAATCAAAGCAAGGCGTCATGGCACAACCCTGTAATCCCAGCATTCCAGAGGCTGAGACTGGAGAGCCACCACGAGTTTGAGGCCAGCCTCCACAACATAGTGAGTTCAAGGCCAGTTGGAACTACACAGTGCGACCCTGTGTCCAAAAAAATAAAAAGTTAACCAAGCAAAGGTTAAGTCACTTCTGAGTCTCCTGCCCATCAAGATGAACAGACACTAATGAATGGAAATTAGTCAGATCATTTTGAAAAACCTGCAGAACAAACTTGGTGACAGCAAACACTGGGGCTAAGGGGTCCTGGAGACTCTGAGGAGAAGCAGCACTGTAAACCTCCTCAGTGATTAGTTCCTGGGCTTGCCATGTGGAGCCTGGAGACAGGCGCGTTTCAGTGGCTCCCATACCTAGGGTGCCAGAGTCACTCCAACGCTTGGCCGCCTCAATCCCAATCTCCAGACACACAAGCCGGAGTCTCCCAGTGATTCTCAGGGGTGGCCAGGTTTGAGGGCTGTGAGGAAGGCTGCCAGCTCTAACAGGTATGGCACCACTACCAAGGCCTGCTCAGTACAGAGAGGCCAGGGAACAGGGCTTCCAGGAAGATGCCAAGTAGGGGGAGGGGTTTACTGCAGAGACTTCCCTGTATAGAATTATGATGAGGGCTCTGCAGTGGGATGCTCTCAGGCTGCTCTGACCACCTGCATGATTTTATAATCTAAGTCTCAAGACTCTCATCTGTAAAGTGGAGACAATATTCTCCACCTGCAGTGAAAGCTCAGTGTTAGCTTTCAATAGGATGCAAAGAGACAGAAGAGGCCTAGACGAAACCCTCTTGGCCTGAGTTTAGGAAACAGGAGAGCAGCAGAGAAGATGAAGGAAGAAGATGGACAGGACCTCGCACACCATGCTGAGGGCTACGGCTGGGGAACCATCACAGAGAGGCAAGCCAAAGCATCACTTCAAAAGGACCTGAAAGCACTTAGAGGACGGAGGAGAGAGGACGCACTAGGCAGGAGAAGAACTGGATGAAGGCAGAGGGCACGGAAAGCAAGGTGCAGACTCAAGGGCTACATCAGGGCAGAAAAAAAAGCTCTCAGGTACAAACCTGGGGAATGGGTGGTGTCACTAAGAAAGACAGAAAACCTAAAAGAAAGGTAATAGCCCAAAAGGTGCTCTGGGCAAGAAGTAAACTGTCTTTAGATAGAGGCTGCCAACCAGCTGAGCAGAGAATAAAACATTGCCTTTAGTACCTCATGCAAACCAGTAGCCTGCACCTTGTAACCGGGCTGCATTCCCCAAGTGTGTTTATAGACCAATGGACATCAGTGTCCTGCAGCTGGGAAATGGGCAGGGAAAACCACAGTCAGCCCACAGACACACCAGCACATGGTAGCTGAAAATAATTTGAAAATAATGCAGAGCAAAATTTTGCTAATAATACAAATTTAGTTTGATTAGAACAACTAAATGTAACACTTGGAAAGAAACCCAAGAAATAAAATATTTGGGAGTCACAATGAGGTTATACTTAAAGAACTCTTTGTTTCAAAACTTTCAGAAAAACAAAAGGGTCGGTACCCAGGGAAAGATGCTGTCCTCCACTGACCACCTCACAAATGCAAACCACAGCAATATAAAGATTTTTATTTTTAATCCACCAAACTGGCCAAATCCACAAGCCTGGCCACAATTCTCTGTTAGGGAAGCCACAGAAAGGCAGGCACGCACACACACCCTGGTAGGAGACAAAGTGGGCTGACTGCTATGGTTGGAAGAACACTAGGCCTCCTGAGACACTCAGGTCCCAAACCCCAGAACCTATAAATATGTGGTGCATAAAGCAAAGGAGATGTTGAGGCGGGGGTAGGATGAAGGGTGCTGATCAGCCGACTTAAGATGGATGAAGCAAAAATATCACCCCAGTGGGATCAACAGCATCACAGGGCTCCTCGAATATGGGCCAAGGAAGTGAAGGCTCAGGGCAGAGAAGATGTAAGGGTGAGGCAGAGGCAGAGGCGGAGGTGATGTGATGGCTGCTAACTTTGCTGACTTCAAAGACCTGGAACCATGGAACACAGGCAGTCACCAGAACCAGAACAGGAAAGGACAACACTGCTCCACTACAGCCACTGGAAAGAATACCACTGTCCACATCTTCATTTAACCCAGTGAGACTTACTCTACATTTGTAACCTCTGAAGCTTTAAGATACTAACTCTGCACTGTTGTAAACTGCATTTGTGGTAATTGGTTATAACATGGGAGATCGACTTGGCTTTATTCATCAAAATTACAAATAGCCCACCTGCTCTCCCCGGGGGCTCCCTCGGAAACACCTGCTCACCTGTGAAATGACATGTGTCAGATTATTCGCAGCAGCATGAATGGAACAGCAAGGGACCAGAAACAACAGCCTAACTATTGGTCCACAGGAGCTAGGTAAATAAATTATTACAAAATAAAATTACTGGAGGCTATGAAAAAATGAGAGGTGTTTATATACAGACATGGAAGGCCAAAGTACATTGCAGATCAGTACGTGAAGTCTGTGTAAGAAGGGGGAGGAAGAGAAAGTCAACAATCTTAATCCGCTTGTGTGTATGGAAGGCAGCAGCTCCCCAATGGGAGTGACGATGCCCCAGTGGACATACCGCAATGTGTGGGGACACCGATTACCACCGCTGGGCGTGGGCCGGGCAAGTCACTGGCATCTAGCGAAGAGAGACCAACGATGATGCTACGTAATCTACAAAAAAGAACAATCCTATCTAGAATGTCAACAGAACCGGAGCATGATGTAAGGCTGGGGATATAGCTCAGTGGCACAGTACCTTCCTACCAGGAGCAAGGTCCTGAGTCTGATTCCAGGTACCCCCCCCACACATACACAAAATACTAACTAGAATGTCAACAGTATCAGGTTAGAGAAATGCTAGTCCAAAGAAATGCTGGGTGGTCACGCAAAAGAATCTGGCAGGTGGAAAAGTGGGGTCTGCGTGGATAATGGACAGAGGTGACAGACTTCGTGGTTCACCACTGGCTGCACGTGTGTCTTATGAATGAATATATTATCCAGTCAAAATTAAACAGCCCTTTAGAGAAAGCTGGAACTGAGAACACATTTTTCTACACAGAACAAGTTTAACAACCCTGAGAATTCCTGTTCCCTTACCTCAGGACCCCAACTATTCTTCCATGACTATACCCAGTACCTAGAAACAGTGCTCAAATCTCTCCCATCCTAAAACATTTAGGACAAATGAGCAAAACTCAGTGAAAGGGCCATTTGCACTTTTGTGTGTGGGCCCAAGTGCCCCTCTCTCGGCCATCGCTACCATCCTGTAGCTCTCCCCATCCAGAGTCTCCTGCCCTTGCTAAATGAGTCCCTGTCTTCCCTTTCCCTCCAAGCGAGGATATGAGTGCCCCTCCTTGAAACCCTTCCTAAATCCTCAGCTACAAACTCTGCTATCCAATCTCTAAATCTTAGTATTTCTCTAGGTCGATCAGTGGTGGTGACCCTACGGCATGTGTGCCACAATGGGCTGTTTGTATCACGGAGAGCTCCAAATGGTTCACCATCACTGCTACCAAGTAGAATGGTTATGAATGGATTTGTGGTAACTGATTATAACGTGGGAGAGTGATTTGGAATAAATGAATATGAATGAAGAGGTTTTGGATTTGGGCCATCTAGGTTCAAATCCTGGCTCTTCCACTTGAAGCTATGTCCTGCTAGGCAAGACCAAGAGTCCATTCATCTCAGACCCTAACTTGTGGAGGTTCAGTGGGCTAATCTGTGCAAAGCCTCTGGATTGGGGTTTGCACATAGGTGCTAAATAAATATTAATACAGTAAAATTTTCACAAAAACAGTAGCAGTTATTCCCTTCCCGTATACAGACATTTTACAACTCCAACCTTAGGGACCCTACTGCTGACACGTGAACAAGTCCACACTAGCCTCATAGAGGATCAGAGAAGCAGTTCCATCACCCCGGTGGCCACAGCCAACATCCAACCACTTAGCTCACTTACACAGGTGTGAGGATGGTTGGACCTCCGTGCAGAGGGCAGGCAGAGACCTGAGTGGCAAAGTAGCATGCTATAGGCATGTCTGTCTGTTTAATAAAGCTACCAGACTTAAGGCGACTGTCCTCCAGCAACGGCTGAGACAGTCAGCTACTTTACGTGCCACATTCACCTCGGATTATTCCTCCCATTCAGAGTTCCAGTTGTCATTAATATGCCACTAACTTTCTGTTTCCTCAGGCTCCGGACTCCCATATACCCACCTCCCTGATGGTCTCTTTTCCCCAGCATCCTCATCAAAAGATCCATTTGATGTGCACTTGGAGGCCAGGCCCATTCTCAAACCTGCCTCTTCTCCTGCAATCTCTAGGCCAGTGCATGAGCTGCTATGAGCCAGAAATCTTTACCGTTTTCTTCTCCTTCAAGTCAGGCAACGATTCATCACACTATCTACCCCGAGTATATCTCAAACTCGATCTCTGCTATCCACAGTCTTCGTTCTGGTCCACACCACCATCACTTCTTATCTGAAATGCTGCAATTCCCTCCCAACCAGCCCTTCTGCTTTGACTCCATCCCTCCAACCAATTCCCTGTAGTGATCTTTCCAAAGCATAAATCTGGTCCTATCATTCGTTCTGGTTAGAACCGTCAGTGACTCCCCATGCCCTTAGAGTTGTGGGCCTTTTTCAGCCCTGACCTCTGAATCTATCTTCCCTCTCAGGGATAATCTCGCACTCCCAGTCCTTCCAGCCCCTGTCCCATGACAGCCACTTTTCCTACTTCTTGGTATCACCTTCACAGGGGCCTCTCCCTATCTCCCTGGTAAATTTTTCTGTCCTGGTAAGTTCAAATAAACCCTGAGTTCTCCGCGTGGATATCACATTATTTCTCCTAAAACGCTTACTCACTCCTCCCTCCCCAAACCGAGTCAGCCGCCCCAAGAAATGCCCACTTCTTAAAGGTCAAGTCTGCTGTGCGTTTGTCCAGCGTGCCCACCAGCTTGTGTTTTGCCTGGGTGGCCACTTTACCAGGCTCAGCATTATCCTTCAGGCCAAGCCAAAATGGGTAAACAAGTTCTTAGAGAACCCACGTGGCAAGAAAGAATGAATGGACACCTCTTAAGATTCTAAGTCTTTAAGATTCCATGCGCAGCCTCCAGATTGTTTTGAAAGGTCAAAGTTTCTAAGACTGATTTTATGTTAACTAAAAGAAGGTCCACTTCTAGGATAAAGTTTGCCCAAAACCGCTCTAAGTTTACCATTCCTTCCCTCCGGAGTCCTTGACTCTTTCCCTCCCGGGGCGTCCGCGGGGAGGCGGCTCGCAGGTCCCGCCTCCGCGCCCCGCCCGCGTCCGGGCAGGCGCCGGCCCCGGGGTCCCGGCTCACCTGGCCGCCTGCATCAGCGCGCTCCAGCCGTAGTGGTTGCGGCTGTTCACCGAGGCGCCGCGGCGCAGCAGGAAGCGCACCAGCGGCTCGTGGCCCCCGGCCGCGGCGAACTGCAGCGCGGTGTTGCCCGCCTCGTCCGAGGCGTCCACAGGCACCGGCGCTCCGGCCGCCGCTGCCCCGGGACCGGCCGACTCTGGAGCCCCGGGCTCCGCGCCCGCCTCGGGCTCCGCGCCGCGCTCGGCCGGCTCCGCTGCGCCCGGCTCCAGCAGCCGCCGCGCTGTGTCGGTGTCGCCCTGGTCGCAGGCGCGCAGCAGCAGCTGCAAGGCCGGGGGCAACCCGCCCTCGCCCATCGCCGCCGCGGCCGATCGCCCCGAGGCCGCACTGGCTCCGCTCCGCCCCCGCTCCGCCCCCGCCGCGCCCGCGCCCGCGCCCGCGCCCGCGCCTCTGTTCTCGGGAGCGCGCCGGGCCGGGGCCGGGGCCGCGCCTCCTCCGACGCGGTCAGGGTGGGAGGGGACCGCGGGGTTCCGGGAATCTCCCGGCAGCGTCAGTCTCCGGCTGCCTGCTGGGCCTGTGGCTTTTCGGCGGCTGCCAGTGGCCCTGTCCGGTGGCTGGGATGACTTCCTGCCGGGAGTGGGTGCGGAGCATCGGGCCAGCCCTTCCGTTCTGCAGGGTGCAAACCCAATCCTGGGCCCTGAGGCCTTCTCCACACTGGCCTCACCAGGACCGCCGCTCTAAGGACCCCTCAGCGCCTGGCCCTTCCTAAATACACAGTTGGTGCTTTCTAAATAGTTGAATGAATTTAAGAGCTGTTGGGTCTGCTTTGCTCCTCTGCTATGCCCTGCACGACACCTAGTGCTGGGCCTTCGTCTCCTGGACCTTGTGTCCCTTATCAGTGCTCCTCGGAGTGTGGCTCACATGCCAGTTCCAACACCAAATGAGACATCTTTACAAAGGCAGTTTTCTGGCCACGCCCCAGACCCACCCATCTGAAACTCCAACACCAGAGTCCAGGTATGGGATCAGTAACCTGTGGTTTAACAGGGCTTTCGGTTGTCTATGATGCCTGCTAAAGGTGGGAGTCACTTGGTTGGGCTTCAGGGCAGGCCTGCCAGCTACCAGAAATCACAGGATCATACAGTTTTACAGATGAGACAATGGAGGCCTAAGACATTGTGTCCTGCTGTGCTATAGAAGTCATCCCATTTTCTTTTGATGCTCAACAATTATTTGAGTGCCTGCCAGTGCCAGGTGTCATGTCTACCTGCTAGAGAGACTTGGGGATAAGATGACATTTCTTCTGGGGCTGACAGGGAAAGAGACAGGCTGAGAATACACAATCAAGTGGGTAACTTGAAATGATCATGAGTGCTGCAGAAACAAGAGGACATAAATCCAGGAAAATGGGGTAGAAGATGAGATATTGTTTTATAACAAGGTGAATCGAGGTGCCCCTGAAAATGTATGTTATACAGACCCGGAGGAATTAAGAAAGCATTTAGGGAAGGAGCCAGCCAGGGAGAGGGAAGAAGATAGGTTCTAACAAGAGTCACTCTGCCCCTAAATAGCTCATTTTTTGCCACCTGCCTATGGCAGTGACATTAACATTCCATAGGATGGGGTAATTGGTTTTCATAGACCATGAGCTGTGGCCCCAAAGCTTAGAAAAAGGCCAGCCACACAGTAGATGGACAAACCTGAATATTAGACGACCAAGTCCCAGCTGTGTAGGATTATAACAAGAGCAAAATTTGGTGGAGACACAAGGAAGGCTGAGTCATGGCTTTGGCAGATCAGAGCAGATAAAGATGCCTCGAGTATCAGCTGGCAGGGTTGGAAGTAAAAGTGTCCTAGGTAAAATGTACAGGAGAAAAGCCTTGAGAGTCCCCAGAGCTCTGGTTGCAAAGGGCTTTGGTACCAGGATAAGGACTGTGGAGTGTGTTCTTTGAGCTGTGTTGAACCAGTGTTGGAGCACTGGACTTGCAAGGTTGGTGCTCACCACTGAGAGCAGTTTCTGAGGCCGAACCCTCACTCCCAGGTTTGGCTGCAATAACAACCTTGGGGAGCAGGGCGATTCCTTAGAAAGGTTTGATAAAGATACTTGTTTCCCTGAAAAGTCCCAGTAATTATTCCTTTGTTTTACTTTCTTTCTCCAAGTATCTTTTATTTTTTACTAACTAGTTCTTTGATCATGAAAAGTAGAGTGGTATCTTGGTTCACAAATGCTTTTGTTTGCCCCCAGTTCTGTAAGTTAGTGATTGGTTCATGTTTAAGTGCATCCTGATTGGCGCAGCCCAGGTTGTTTGCTGAAGTGGCTGGGAATGAGGCTTTTTCTAGCAAGACAGCCAACTGTCAGGATGTCAGGATCTTAACCCTGACTTGAGGAGTCTGACTGCTAAGGAGGCCAACCACAAGAGAAAGCAGAGCCAAGTGATAGAGATCAAGGGAAAAACAGTCCCACCCCCATTCTTTCTGTTAGGTTTATTTTGAGCAAGGTTGTCATCTCTTGCTATCCAAGCCATAACAGATGCATCATTTACTTCTTAAATGACTGGGTTCATGTGATGCATGCTATTTTGAATCTTGCAGGTTTTTTTTTTTTTTTCCCATTTAGCGAATGTCTTGGGCATCTTTTCTTGTAGGTGAATGTATGTCAGCTGCGTGCTTTTCAGTGGTTGCATATAACATCACTCAGTAGCTATAGCATGATTTACTCAATCATTTTAGATGATATAAAATTGGCTTGTTTCCAGTATTTTGTTCTTATTTTTAAAAAAAAAATAGTCTTTCATTGAATAGGATTTATGACAGTCAGCTTCCTAGCAGGCACGTTTAGTGGAAGAACTGATGATGGCTTGCTAAAGGGGCTTTTACACAAGTGTAGACGGGGGTTACTAAGAGCCACAGGACTTGCACAGTCTCTAGGCTGGCAACATTAGGGAACACTTACTATTCCAGGTCTGAATAGGAGGAGAGCAACACTGCAATTTTAAGGAAGAAAACTATAGAGACCTATAGTTTTGGCATTTGGTAGCCAATCCAGTCAATTCAGTAAGGGGGTGATCCCTAGAGGAATAGAATCCTCTGACCTCACTGGCCTTTGATCTCTCATCTCCTGCCGTTGTTCCTTGTTGGAAATCCAAAGGAAGAGAGTAATTTTTTTTATTCTGTAAATCTGTATAACTTGTACCCCTTCACTGTTTTTTTTTCTTTCTTTTCTTTTCTCCTTAAATAAAAATTAAAAAAAAAAAAAAAAAAAAAAAGAAATCCAAAGGAAGCCAGAGGCTATGAGCATGCTGTATAGTCCTGACAAGTTGGCTTGCCAGTATCTGTAATCCTAGCACTTTGGAGGTAGAAGGAGGCTGTGTGTCTAAGGTCAGCCTGAACTACACAGTGAGACCATGTCTCAGGAGAGGAGGCAAATGGAAGACAGCTAGCGGCTAGCACCTGACTTCTCTGTGTGTGGTCTCTGAGACAACAGCATTAGTAGCTCCTGGGATCCTCTTAGAAGCACAGATCTTGGACCCACCCCGGCCCTACTGAATAGGAATCTGCAGTTCAACACGAGCCCTGGATGACCTGGTGTACATTAAAGTTTGAGCACATAAATTTCTTAGGCAAATGTATCCATAGTCTTGTTATTTATGAACTCTCTTCTAGCATTTTTTTTCATTGACCCCTATGTTGATTTGGGTCCTCCGAAAATCAGATGTCCAAATTTTTTGGAGTGGGTTGTTTTGGGGGAGGGATTATTTTCTGAGAAAAATTATCTGTGAAAGATCAAGCTAGACGATGGACCGTCGGGGGACCGGCGGCGGCTGAAAAGATAAGAAGTATTAAATATAAATGACCTTTATTTTGAAAATGCAGAGAGAGACACCCATCCCCTGCCCCCCACCCTCGGCGATCTCTCCCCGTGGAACACGTGGAGTGGAGGAATATAAGTAGCCTTGGTTTGGGGTGGAACCTAAGGGACCATTAGTGATGCACAGGTAGCCCATTGGTATTCTTTTGGCGCCATAGGTAAAACCCTAGGGGTGGGGGAGATGGAGCTCCTTGGTTCCGGCTGAGGCTTTTCCAGCTACAGTATCTGGCCTGGAAGAGAAGGAAGAGGGAGGGGAAAGTTCAGACCATGATGTCATCTGATGCCTGAGAAAGGAAAAGGGAAAGTGAGGCGCTTTAGCCTACAACACCGTTTTGAGAGAGTCGGCAAGGCCTACAGGAGACCCCAGGCAAAGGCTGTTTGCCAAAACTGACATGCATCCACCAGGCTGGTCACTGGTGGGAGAAGCTAGAGGACATGGAAAAGGTTTGGAAGGCAGAGCAGCTGGAAGCTCTCCAGTAGGTTCTCTTGAAAGGCAACCTGAGCAGGACACCAGTATCACCAACAGTCACCATCTGACTACCATTTATGGACTGCTTTTTGTGTGCCAGGTTTTAGTTCACAGTTGGCTGCCTCCAAGGCAGGGTGGCATGGCAGAGAAGCATCACAGAGGAGTTCATGACAGGCAGAAGGTAGTGTCTTGATTGCTTTTCTCTCGCTGCTGGAACAAAATATCCAAAACTACAGAAGTAAACGTTTATTTAGCTCAGTGTGAAGGTTTCAGTCCATAATCTGCTGATTCCAAGGCAGGGAGGCATGGCACAGGGGCAACACTTCAAGGCAGCAGAAGATAGCAAAAACAACAAGAGCAAAGTGGGTGGAAGAAACAGGCTCTTTTCCTCCCTTATCCTGTGTGCAGGCTACCACCTCCTATGGTGGGCATAGCACACACACCATCTCCTGCCCTCCTCTAGCACAGGCTCAGGATGTTTGCAAAGTGAGGACCCTGGCTCCCTGCTTGGTTTTGTTTTATCGGGAATCAAACTCACAAACTCCCACTTGCCAGCCAGACACTGTGCCACTGAGCCATATTTCCCACCCTTGAGTCACTTAAACTTCTCAAGTTGACACAATGAAGAACATCCTAAAGTAGTTAGGGTATGTCCTCTACACCCAGGATGTAAAGCTGATGAATTACTTAATTAAGCTTTCAGATTTCCCAAACTGACACAATGTATTAACTATAATAGGCAGCAAAGCAACAAGGGACAACCACAACTCTTTCTATTCCTTATATTTTATTCAGACTACTTTGCGGGGGGGTAGCCTTCACATCCTTAATCCTAATGCCCTTGATCCTAGGATTACACCATGAAGCAATTTCAGCATCATATACTCTAGGTCCAGCCACCTCTGAAAAAGCCCCCTATGACCACATAAGGCATGTGGGGGACATTTTGGCACAAGCCATAACAGTGTCGGAGGACAAGAACATGATCTCTGGCTCCCAGGGCGTCCCGCATAATTGCAAGTTAATGAGATTTCATCATCAGTTCAGAGGAAGGTATAT